TTAATGCAACTGTCACAGCTTTACCATTCTATTACCACATTCTTTTTAATTAAATGCAGCATGGCAGTAGCGCAGCATCTTGTCCCTGTGTTGTGTGCAGTATGCTTCCCTTCTTTATGTACCTGCCTTCCACCTGGAATGTAAACTTTTTTCCTGTATCCTGATATGATGATTTGTAATGATATATCTCAGGTATTTGATGTTTGAAATTCCGTGTATTAAGTGTTTTCACGTTTGCTGTGAATTATTACAATGCCCTCTTCTCCATTTTAATTAGTTATAAAAATGTGACAGTTCATATTGTTTGATAAGAGTTTGACCATTTATCTTAAAAAAAACTTGCTCCTCGATGTAACACACTGTGAAGAATTGACTCTGAATTTAATACCAGACACCACATGCTAAAACAAGCACTGGCTGAAAGCATGGTCAGGCTCCAGACTATTCGTCATTTATATATGTATCAAGAAATTTTTGATGTACATGTGTATGCAAAGTAACTAAACCCAAGATGAGCGCAGGTAGTGGGAAGCATACTGCACACACCGTGGGGACAAGGTCGCCTAATACCATCTTTCTATCCCAGTAGGCTATCACAATACATGTAGGTTACACCCGTCTAGCAGCATAGATGCTGACTTTTGCAGATTTGGTTAGATAAGAGCACTCATGAAAATAGGGTACTTGGAATGAAAAGGGTAGAATCACTTAAAGCAAATTGGCAATAATGTTTTCTTGCAAATAAAGTCATTTTTTTCACAGAGCCATTAGACATGCTGTATATCAAACATGCAATTGTTTTTGACCCGTCAAGGGCACACAGCACCCCCAGCGGATCTTGGATGTTTTGGGCACATCCCTTATGGTTTGTTCAATTTTTTATTTGAAAATATGGATTTTGAAATTCGTATAGGACTTTTTTTATTGGAAAGCATATTCAACTGTATTTTTATTTTCTTTTATCTATTTCTGTTGATACTTAAACACATTGAGATTGAGAATAAGAAATTTAAATGTACTAATTCAGTTCAAATCACATGGGCAAATAATAATCACCTTCAATATTGACTAAGCCCGCATTGTTTGTATGAGCACAAACAGTATAGCCCCTACATACATGAAGTTACTGGACCCATCCAGATATCTTTCAGAGATGCCTCAGAGTGTTGAGGGTAAAGTACCAGTTTTAAACCAGACTTCAAAGTTTAGACAAATCTAGAGTTCACAGGAATTTCTTTACTAGGAACTTAAACTTCAGGACCAGTGAATGGAAAAATGTCATCAGCCACATGTACAATAATGTACATGTACTTATTCTACATGCTATGTCTTCATTGTATATGTAGGTGCAAAAAGCCCACAGTTTATCTTGCTGTTACATGTATGTCTGCTAAAAAAAAGTAAAGTTACAATAGGTTGGTTTGTTATCCATTGCCTTTGTGATTAATAAAGACGTAAGTCGGGCTTGATAAGAATTCATCCGGTTTTGGTGTCACTGCATAATAATGACCAACATATCAAATCCAACTAAAACACTTGCAGAGATAAAAAGTAGATGTATCCTGATACTATACTTGTACCACGTTTAACTCGGAGGAGAGCACTTTAAATGAAATCAAATCAAATCATGATTAGAAATCCTTTAATTCATGAGGTAAATTAAATAAAAACAAGTGGCTTGAATTGAATGTTAGAAATTGTGCCCACTCATATTTTGTGCAACACATGTGCACCCATACTTTCATCTATATGAGGTACTAAAGGGTTCACAGAAGGGGATTTGCCCATTGAAATGTGCAAAACCTTGAAGAAATATACAAATCATTCAATTCAATTCAAAGTGGTTTATTTATACACTTTCTTTGTGGCCAAAGTACCAAAGTTTTTACAGTTAAAGATAGAAACAACCATTAAAACATTTCGTTAAAATTTCCATAAATGTGGAGTTGCTTGTCAAACAAAAATGAAACAGCAAAAACGGAAAAACTAGTCAAAATGGCAACATTTTGGTTAAAAAATTAGCATGTTTTCAGTTGATTGAAAGGCCGATATAATCGACTATTTTTTAAATCACTGTGATTTAACACCTGCCAGCCCTCGCATACTGTGCCTGCAAATACTGAGTCACAGCATTTGGCAGGTGTCATTGTTCTTTGTTGTGGTTTGCTTCAGGTCATAGTAACTTTTCAACTGGTTTTATTGCCTGTTTCAGATCAAGTTGTTTTTCACGTTTTTGGCATCATTTTGAAACACCTTGCCACAATTATGTGTCTGCAGCCTCTTGCCACAGATTGTGTGTTTTTGTTCTTCAGTCTAAAGAAACATCACTAGCGCCAGTCAAGTGTGCATGTCTCTTTATACAATCCAAGCTGTCCAGACGTGCTACTGTGTCAGAAAAAGCAGCGTTAATGGTGAAATTCCTCTAACAAAGATACTGTCATTTTCTTTCTCTCGCTTCCCTTCAGTGACCCTGTCATGAAGCAGTTTCTACTGCACTTGGATGAGATGCAAACACTCGGAAGACGATTTATACTGGTGGATCTGGATAGCACACACCTATTCATTGATCACGAAATCGTTGGCCTGCTGAGGGACAGAATTGATGAACTCATGGATGAGAACACTTTCTCTGTTTTGACATGATGACATGAACGGTCATTTGGCAAAGCAGTCTGGCATAATTGACGGGTGGAAACCTGGGAAACAATCTACATGTACCTTCTTTCTCATGCGAGTCTCTCCGATGACAGTGCAAAGACGTTTGTTGATCTGACCACTTTTCGACTTCTCATGAAAGATTTCGTGCGTGGATTGGACATTGTCTTCTCAGTTTAGTCCGGTAGCAGTGATTCTAAATGATTTGCTTTAATATGTACTTGTAGGCTTTATTGTACATTGTTCTCTTTATTCTCAATATTTCAAAGAATTGGAGAAGCAACATGTGAAATAAATTGATTGAACTGTTACTGAAGACATTATGCACGAAGAGGACAAATTATAATAATACTCTGCTGAACAAAAAGAGTAATCTCAGACTATTAGCAACCCAAGGTTTAATGCCAGCCAGGGAAGACAGCATCCAACTGGCCTCCCACAATGCAGAAAGAAATGATTTGGTTACGTGAGCTTGAATCAAGTAACAGACTTGCACGTGAGACGTACGTGTGCACCTTGCATTGTGCACAAAAAAGATTAGAAATCAAAGCTGCCTCTGTAATTACTTTTGCAGGAACGTAAATAATACCGGAGTACAGTCAGCTCTGTAATAATAGAGTTACAAGGGCCAGACAAACTACTTTGTTATATTCAGGACTTGCTAGAAAATGATGGGAAAACAAAGAAAGACAATAATAGAAATTGAGTTTCTTAGAGTTTGCACTTTATAACAGCATTTTGTTGTAACAGTGTTCTTTGTAGTGAGATTCAGCCTTACACAGCTAATGGGTGAAGATTGTTTGATTTTGAGCAATGATGACAATTGCAAATTACGGATTTGTTCATTTTACCTGGACATAAAGTATTTTAGAAGGTGAAGCAGGTGTTCTGATTATTGCTATTTTGCAACACTCATTTTCGAATGTACAAGACTGTGTAATTTAGGTCCTGCAAGGGTTACAGTGTTAAGTTATTTCTGGTTTCCTTCAGACTGAAAGACTGGATCACACTTGGCCCGGAAGCAAATACATGTACCATGTGTACGAGCACGAATTTGTGACGTCATATGAAATATTCTTGCTAAAAATGAGCAAAAGTTGGACGCATTTGAACCGAGGCAAACTTAATGTTTTTAACTTCTTGACGTCAAAGTCGTTCTGCTTTTGCGTTCACTTGAAGTATGAAATGGCTGTAGTACCGGGATGTGTATAAATATGTTGCGCAAATTGGACCCGGGATGTACTTATTGAGTTTTTAGCATTTAGGTGTTGTTTTGCTTACAGCGTACACTCATTACTTTCTCATAAAAATGATCTTGTCTTTTTATTGTTGCTTTGATGTAGGCTGCCTCCGAATAACTTGGCAATTACATGAACACGTATCCACCAGCGAGTGTATTGTACAGGAGCGGCAATGTGATGTGCTGTTACCACGTACGTTCATGTTGTTTCCAAATGGTGTTTGGAAAACCTTCAAGGCATCACGTTAACGTAGGACTAACGTTAACTACAAAGCTACGTGATGCGTTGAAATCCAAGTTATAAAACCGGTGTTACACAAAGTAATGGAAAAAATGTATGCTTCAGTGATGGGAACATATGATTTTTCTCGCTTTCCAGCTTAATGGGTTTGTTTTGATTGGGCGCAGATATGAACAATCAAACAGTTCGGCTTCCTCTGTGAGACCGGTCACATTCAAGGAGACGGTGGCCATCAACACTTGAGGCCAGGCGAAATAATAGTGATCGAGAGGGCCATTTACGTGTATTCACGTACTGAACTCGTGATTTTTCAGCAGAGCAAGCATTGGCACATGATACTATGCAACGGTTAGGTGTGCTTTTAGAAAACCAAGTAACGAAAGTGTTGCTTGAAAGCAAGAATGCAAATGGGTACACATAAAACTGTTTAGCATGAGGATGCTTAACTTGCCTGGGATGGGGCTACATATTCCCCTCTTCGTGTTTTGATCGGAGGATGGGCTTTCTAACTTTTCGGGGTGAGAAAAGATTACCAAAATGTAGTCAATAACGCTCAAAAAGGAAGAACAATATTTATAAAGCGATAAATACTCCATTTTCATGTAAGCTTCTGCAAAGGGTAATATAATGTAACAGATGTATATCTGTATGATAAACATTGCCCCTTGTGTAATATGGTTTCAACCCCCCCCCCCAATCTTTTCGAATTTAAGCGGCCGGGTAAGTAATCACTTCAATAGCCTGCCCACCCCCCCCACGTTCTCGGCACAAATTTACCCCACTGTTGTTTAATGCTCTCCAATCACGTATACCTTTCCGCTCATGCGTGGATGGTCCACCAGGAGTATGAAGGAGTGATATAAAATTAAAGGACATAGAAGTCTGGTATCGGAAGACCAGCGGACTGGGTGGGTTAAAAATTGGCTCTTGCTTTGACTCCTTAAGCGCGTCAGCTTCTATTTTTTTTTAATTCTGCGAACAATGGCTGCCTTGCTTTACCTGGTCGGTGTACTTGGAGCCTTGGTGAGCACAAGTGGTAAGTACAATTTCACTTAACTTTGAAAATAATGGGCTACGTAGAGGTGAGAGGGAATTGGAATTACAGGATCCCCATTGTGGGTCCCTAGTGTTGGAGAATAGTGCTGTGTTTTATGTACGTGTTAATAGAATCCACCGGTATACGTGTAATCGTGAATTCAATATCAAAGCTGTAAATGCTGTACCGAAATATCAACGCTGTAAATTTGTGTCGTAAACTGAAGGTGGCGGATTGCGGTCGTGTGTGGAGAGGGGGTTGACTTGCCCGGTCTTGGAAATTTGAAAGGAGGCAGAGGATAATGACAACATATGACGCTAGGAGGCAATGGTGATAATGTAAATGAGTATTACTCCTGCAAAATGTTACATAAAAGCGGCGTATTTATGTCTTTTTTTCCCCCTTTTGAGTGCTAATAAATATTGGGGGGAGTCCAGAAAATTCTTCACAATCCGCCTTGTTTTCTCACCAGAAAAAGAGTCTGTGGTGGGGGAGGCGGGGTGATTCAATAGCCCACCCCCGCGGTCAGAAGGTGAGGGGATATGTGCCCCAGGCCTGTAGGCCTACCCCTGAAATTTGCGCCCCTGCGACAGACTATTTTGGAGTCCGCTAACATGGCACTCTTCGCCATTTCCCTCAGTTTCCTTAAAATTCTGTGTTGCTAAGAATCAAAAAACATTCGAATTTATTCAGGTTAGTACCGGCATTGTTACCTTCATAGTGCATGCTCTTGAACCTTTGTGAATGATTTCAGTGTCGTGTAATTTATTCCGAAATATGAAAACACTGGCGTTCAGAAATTGGGCACAATTTTTAGCATTGCTCCCTGATGCTGCACCATGGAAACATTTCAGAGTTTCTTTAAAATTGATAAATTTTGAATAAATCGTCAATGCCTCCAGTCATACAACTACAAGTTTAATTTGTAAGAAAATTATTTCTTTTCATTGTAATTTTTTAAAGAGTCTGTGCGCTTTGAAAAAAAATTCGGAAAATCAACCATTTTCAGCCCAAAACTAGGATTTCATTGGAACTTTGTGGCAAGCACTTATACTCCAGACTTATGAACGGGAATATTGATACCTTTCACATCAGGGACGAAAAGTTAAAGTGCGCCTTGTTGGGGACGGAGCCACGTTAGGTTTATGACAAAACATAATCCGAGTGCCTGGCGGTGTACATGTGCTTTCTGAATGAATTAGGGGAATCGCTATGTTGGAGTTGCCTCTTGGCTATCGCAACTGCACGTGCGAACAAGCAGCACATTTAACCTCAATGCTTAAATGAACCTATGTGATCATTTTAACTAAAATTTTCAAGTATACGAAGCTGTCTGTTTCGGTTATACCCTCCCCTCTGCTGACTTAAGTCGTTCACGAAACGTTTTGAAATTTTTTTGTATGATAAAGAACATGCACAGGCAAGCTTATTGTATTATGTATATTGCATTTGTTTTACGATATGCTTTAGCTCTCGATAGGCACATCATTTACGCGTATACAGTAAAAACAGCAATATCTTAGTGAAATGCAGAATACCTTTGCATTTAAACTTGAGACTTTAATTTGGGTCGGTTGATGGGCAAAATAAAAACCTTTTTTCCTTACGTTACGTTGCATGACCCCGTTTGGCACAATAAATGACGTTGATTGCAAAAACGTCCCCGTGTTGAGCAATATCCTTCACACAATGCACAAGCTGTAGTCTGTCCTGAGTTTGAAGAAACAAACACACGAAGCAAGCACAAGATTTGGACCCTGAAAAACATTGCCCTCGGCTTAGCACAAAGTGTGCTGCTTTCATCTACAATCAACACCTGTTAGTCTCGCGTGGGTCTATGGAGTAATCTCAAATCAAATGACAAAGTAACTGTTTCTCCATACGTCCGCCTAATGGTCTTAAATTATGTCTGAAGTAATACTTGCTTTTAGTTTTTGTTTTGATTTTTAAGAAGTGTCGAAGGAAATCCTAGCGGCGCCGAGCATGTTAACCTTTGCCTCCTTGTCAAATTTTTTTCCAGACTCCCAGGGTTGGAAGAATGATGCACGTGACACTGATTGAAAAAAGGGAGTTCATGATAATATAAAGTGTGATGACCTTTTCCCATGTTGTACAATAACTTCTGCGTATTCCCAAAAATTTGCAGTCATTTTTTTCTTTTATTTGCCGTTTTATTTATAGACTTATTGGTTGTATAACAGCTTTCCATAAGAGCTCTGTTTCGTGTGGCATGTACATTCATTGAAGTTAAGACTTGAAATAAGTTAAAAACAAATGTCAATAACACAACAAATACTAAGATAAAAACAATCAATATGTTTAATTATAAAATGTACAAAATAAACGTGGAATCTAACGAAAACACCAACATAAACATGTCCACTGTGGCACAGAGGCCAACAAAAGGATAAAAGAAGGAAACGTAATGAATGACCAACACAATTAAAAGAATATGAGCTGATAAAAATACTAAGAGAAATAAATGTATTCATAATTGAAGAGACAGCACAAGGTCTAGTTTAATGGAGTAATTAATTAAACCAGTTGTTTTTCCATTTCCAGCTTCCAGTGATTTCGTGCGATATGAACCGGTTGATGTGCTTCGCCCATTTGGTAAGTCAGATTACGAGGTTTATAATGCAGAGAAGCATTTATAGGATATGATCCCCAAATGTTCCCTATATCAGGGGCGGATCCAGGAATTTCCAAAAGGGGGCGTGAACTAAAGCAGCAATGGTATAATGCCCGTGAGCGCGTAGGGCGAAGCCCTAATTCGTGTGGGGTCCGCTCCTTAAGCGGGCCCTGGGGAAATTTTGAATTGTAGGGGCTCTCTGTGGTGCCATTTTCAGGCAGTATGCCCCCTTTGTACGCCTTTGTCATATTTATTGGGTTGGGGCCCTCCCTTTCCTTTTTCTTCCCACTCCCCTTTTTTTCTTCTTTTTTATTTATATATTTATTTTTTGGTGGAAGAGGGGGGACCTTCCCCCCGGATCCACCCACTATATTGGCCGGACGGACAACTATTTCGCTCGGCCGAATTACGTTTTCGCCCAGCCAGAATACTATCTCGCCCGGCTGAATTCGTACATGGATAGCAGGACTAGCGAAGTAGTCCGCCCAGGTGAAATGATAATCTGCATGGACGAAATTCTAATGTGCCCGAGCGAAATGGTGGGCGCAAATTTGGTCATGTCCTAACTACTCTGGCGTAATGATCTGATTCCCGTTGGAACATGTCTGAGGTTCGGTGTGAAAAACGGTAATTAAAGTGACGTGTATACTCAAAGTTGACAAAAACAAGGAAGCAAAAGTTCAAATAACTCACCAGCATAACTCGAAAACATATCAGTTTAATAGTAGGCCTGTTAATTGTGCACACTCTTGCATATACACCGATGATCGAGTGCTCTATCCCGACTTTTCATTCATTGGCTTGTACACAATGTCATACACTGTATGCTGTAGCAAGCCCCTTGCTTCAATCGAATACATTCAGGTTATATTCTAATGTCTTCCCTAAATATTCAATCCCAAATTTCATGCATGGTTTTTGACGAGTTTTTAACCTGTATACCTTGATATAACTAATTTAGTATTTGCAGAATGAAACAAACGGAAAACAGAAACAAGAACATTTCTCAGAACGCTCATCTTCATACTGCCACGGAAGATCTTAAACTAAATCCTGCGATTACAATGTGTTTATTCTTCATGGATGCCAACTCATTCGCTAATGTGCCGAAAAATGGAGAAATGCTCTCACTCTTTTTGAATTTTTTCTCTTTGTTTCTTGTGTCTTACAATTGCTTTTAAAGTGAGCACCATGGTTCAGAGCGCCCCATTGTGTGACGCTTGCGAGAGTTTGGTGGAAATGCTGAAGAATCTCACTGAAAACAAGCATAGGCTGGTGGGTACCTTAACACCAATACCTGAATTGAAACTAGCAATTTGGATAGTGCTGGTGTTATAGCAGAAAGTTGTCGCCGCAGTCAAAATACTATTAGACCCAATGACGTATCAAGCCAGGGGGGTTGAAGGCATGTTTCCATTAGTTTCTTATTAATTGAATATTCAAACACCTGAGAAACGCCATTAGCACTTTTTTGGGGGGGGGAGTCTGGTGAGGAATTTACAGATAAACGACATGAAAAACAAGGGCCGGCGTTTTCAGAAAAAAACATCTTTCCCTCCTCCACCCTAAACCTGGGTACGCCGCTATGGTGCGAACACAGAGACTTTGATGACTTCAGGGTTTTACGTTCTTTGCAGGATGAGCTGGTCAACACCCTCTTGCCTCTGTGTGGGTTGTTGCCTTCCGAACTGAGTGATACCTGCATTTTATTCATCCGCGAAATCCCTGCAGCTGTGGATTACCTGGCGGACATGTACCTGGTATCATTAGACATCTTTTCAAAATCTTGAAAAACATCTATGCTTTGAATTTATCGGTATCAGGAGGGTTTCAGTATTAAAAGTAAATTTTTTATAAATAAATTTTGCAAATCATTTCCAGCTTTTAAAAACAAATGTTGATGTTTGCATTCAAAACGGGGATTACTGCAGCTTGATCCTTAAGGGAGTAAATGCCAACGAGAAATGGTTTACTGTTATGTTACAGAGTTGGGCATTGGATCCTACTTCTGTCATTTACAGCATTTGTTATAGATGACTGGGGTGAGGTTCATTCAGCTTGACCGCTACTATTCCTCTTCTTTGCAGGATCCCAAGCAGGATTGTGAGTTTTTCTGCGCAGGAGCACGCAAGGCCTCCCAGATGAACATTTTCAAGCAGAAGGCCAAGAAGCAAATGAACTAGAACGGATGAGAGAGAGAACTTGTCATACGAAGGATCTGAAATTTAGCTTGGATTCTTTTAAGCAAGATAACTAACTAATTTTGGTGCCATCATATTGGGACTTTTTTTTTGCATAGTATTGCTTTTTCCTATACATGTATCTGCCCAGTTGGGCACTGTGTGTAGTTCAATGTATGTGACACTCTAATATTGATTCATTTTAACGAAAAGGTTATAGAGCAGTAGCAGGTAACCGCTACCACATGTATCAATAGAAATGCATACCTTCTTTAAATTTCGTGACCAAAATCGTTTTCAGATTTCCTCTGCCTATCCAATTAACTCAGAAACCGCCATTGGATGTGACGGAAAGTCAGCATTTGTAGAACGGCGCTCTTCTGTAAAATCTTCTTATTCTAAACAAAATACCAATTTGTTTGTCTTGCTTTGCACCATTACACATAGCTAAAATTCCCAGGTAGTTCTAAACAGAAAAAATAATCTATTAGAAAATTACTTTCGCTTCCAACTGAGTTGATTCAGTTTGGTATTAATGAAAATGGGCAACAGACATTTCAACATATTTGCTGACCGTGAATGTTATTTAGACATCGAAGGAACACTTTTGGCGATTAATGTGTGCATTAATACTACATGTAATACGGTTGATGAAATTTACTAAAAATGCGTTGTGTTATGAATTTTCCTGTGTTTTGTTTCTTGAAGGTATCAAGACCGCCGTTGCCTTTAAAACCGGGTACCTGAGTAGTAGTAGATGGTCCTTCATTAATCACAAAGGGTACTTGCCTGTGTTGGTATGCCGCTATTGTACCGTGAGTGTTGATGATGTTAGTCGGGAGTGCACGTGATTCGTTTTGTGGTGGCTATCCCATTGTCATTTTCAGGGATACTCCTCCAGCACGTATGTTTCACTCTCATTCAACATTGGGAAATTAACGACTTCAACCGTGCGCGGCGGTTACTTGACCGGACCCACGTAAACCATACAGAAATGTTCTTGGCAACTGGCCAATCCTCTATTGAGCCTTCTCGTTTATGTGCTCTAGAAGGCTTAAACCGAATAAAACACGAAAGAATCATGAAAAGAAATGTTACGTAAATATAAAAATTAGCCTCAAAGTGGTTGCTAAGATGATAAATTATTTCCATTTCCAATCGATCACTTGGTCTTTTTTTCCACTACATTTCTCAATTTTAAAAGTTTCCCCAGAACAGTGAGACAGTGCAGGCCAGACGACAGGCCAGAATCTTTACTACACTATACAATCAGTTCTATGTAGCTAGATTTTTTTTTGTCGACTTTCATGAGTAATATTTGATACTTCGGCGCAGCGCGATCTACGTGTGTTTTACATGCACAAAACCGATCCAGCCACGTACCGTGCATGGTACACTGCGGCCTGTTAAACGCGTACCGCGGCGTACATGTACACGTACAGGTACATGAAAGTTTAAGTTTCGACGGAGCCGGTGTACATGTTCGTGTGGTTCATGCGTGTATAGTACATTACAACTGGGGATATATACCGTTAATTTCAACATTTTCCTGGAAATTTTATAATGACAGATAGACCTCGGTCTCAATAATAAACTTTGTGCTCGTCTTTCGTTCCCGGGTCACTGAATTCTTACGCTCGCAAGACCGTAAGATTATGCGGAATGAACGGAATCGGTGTTGAGATAGGTCGATATGCAAACGCCTCCGGTTGAGAAGAGAAGAAATCTAGCGGAAAACCGTCACAAATCGAAAACCTTTGTTTCGAGCCTTCAAAAATGGCATTAATACGTAAACTACCGCCAACGAAAAGAGCTTTTCACTAACACCACTAGTTTTGACCACTCTCACCATTTTCCACCAGATGAAATCCTATTCTAATCCAACAGTCGCAAGCTTTTGAAGTTTGCTTCTACACAATTTATTTGAACAATTTATAGAACAGAATTATCCCCCCCCCAATGCACAGGGGAGAGACTTAGTCTTGAAAATCAACATATTTAAGACAATGCTAACAATTGCTGATGTGACTTTTGTTTGGGCGAATGCTGACACTTAGTCCAACATTCATAATACAGACATTCTACAGAGATTTTCAGATTAATATGCATGATGGAATAATGCGACAAGAGAGCAGGCATGGCACGTGGGTCTGGTGCATTTGTTTTAAGATGCAGTTTCAGAAAAATCTAGTTTATGAAAGATATATGCAAAACAAAGAATTAGGATACGTGCACTTGAGCTCATTAATACTAGAATTATCATTTTACTCCAGAGGTGTATCCAATGAGGAGGACAAGTTTCTCCTGGATACATGTTGTTTTTTCTCCATATGTTAACTGCCTTTCTTTAGAAATTCCAAGCACCGCCATTTTTAGAAATTGTACTACTATTATGGGAGTAGTCAGGATGCCTTTACTGACAAAAATGGAGAGTGATCTTCTGGGAACAAATCCATAATCCATGCCCTCGCCCGCTACAGTCAAGCCCCGAATACGTACTACTGTGCCCGAAAATTACTCTCAAACTGGATTTAAAAAACCGCTTTCCCATCGTTTCTTCCATCAGTTAGGTTATTAATTGATTCTGGAAGCAGTTCCAAAAGCGCAAGTTGATTTGAAACCGAAGGAGGCACAGTATAATTGTTGATTATACAAGGATACTTTCCTGCAGTGTAATCGAGATTATACAAGCCCCCAAAGGTGAGAATCAACTCCCACCAATTATTGGTGTTATTGCATTTACCCTAGCCCTTGATTCTCGTGATGTATCATTTTTCGGCTTGACAGCCCAAGTTGCGTCAAGTCTAGCCCAGTGAATGGCTCACTATTGATTCTATTGATATAACTTCCATCGCTTGACATGCTTGTCAGGTAATTTACAAAATATCTGTTTAAGATAGAAGGAAACTTGTTCTTTGCCTTGTCCCAGTTGGACTATTCTCTACGCCGAATGTTATACTTATTAATGTTACAGTGTTCCGGTTCTTTCTTTTCACTAGTTAAAGTTGTTGCCCAAGTTTTGGATTTAGATTAACATTTCTTCATGGTAAGACTTTCCCACCCGTCTCCCATTTTGGCAGGCCATAGGGACCTGATCCACCCATTATGAGTGCACTGAACTAATTCAAGCCCCATTGAAAACAACCTGTAACATCAACCACGTTCGCAGCCCCGGTGCACGCAACCGAAGACCCTTAGGCCTCTCAAACAAAAACAATGTGTTTGGGGTCTTTCAAGTTTTAATTGGTTTTTAATTTCCAGTAGGATAACCAATGAAATTTTTAATTATCCACCAAAAACAAACTCATCCCCCAAAAGTGAACCTTCCCAAGACTGCCAGCAGCCATTTTTCAAATGACGGCCCCACCACAGTTTTTCAATAGCATTTTTCTCTGCTTTGTCCTGGGATTGGAACCCTTAAAATTAATCTAGGGAGTTCATTCTAGTCCATGCTTACATAATCCCACATTTTCTTGGGCCACACAATCTCCTCTTTTTGAAATAAACCGTTAAGGTACTTTTAAGTGCCTCCGCCTGACGGAGAATTTCCCTTGGATTGGGCAGTGCACTCATATAAGTGCAGTACTTTTAAGGAGGTCAGCTGAGGTCACCTGGTTCGACGGGAAAACAGAAATTTTGTTTTGTAAAGACTGGTGAGGGCGCCCTGACAGGCAGCAAAACGCAAGTTGATTCACGCCTGCGGAGGACTTGTAGAATCTCGATCATATTTGCAGGTAGGTACCTTGCATAATCAACGATTTCCTATCCAGTAAAGTTCGCATTTGTGGAGCAAATCCTGAGAACAAACAGCGCCACCTAGACAACTTTTAATGCTCTTCCTATATAACAATACACTCTCATCCTAACTTAAGAAAAATTCAGAAATAATACATCAAGAAGTCGTCTGGGGTTACAGCACAAAAGATCTCCTGTTCTTTAATATAGGCCTAATGTAAAAAAAAAAGGCCAACCACAACCAAAGGTGTGCTGTGTGCGTTCCACCGTAGAAGTGGATATGCGCCCTCATTTGCTCAGCATGGTTCTTCTATTATTACTAGGATAACCTTTTTCATCAGTTAAAGTATAGCTGATTATTTTAGTCCACGTGTTTAAGTGCAAAGGTTAGTATGGTTAGTGTCCATCAGTTCCAAACATGCATGTTTATATTACATGTACTGGCTGTTATCCTGAACGCAATGAAAATGCATCTTCCAAGTTCTTTTTACCTCAACTGTAGGACAACATAGTTCAAGAAAATGGAATTATTTTACTGAGCTGTTTCAACAGGAAAAGTATTTATTCATTCAATGCGATAAAAAAAGAAGATAATTAAGGGTATTCCAGGAACCATGAAAAGTGAAGATTAAACTCGGGCAGTGACCAGTATGCAGAAAAACAGCAGTTTTTGTTTTTGGTCGACCCCCCCCCCAACAAAGATCGAGCCTAATGGAGGTAACTCCCATTCATGTTGGGAAAGTATTGGGACCAGTGTCGTTTTCTAAAATTAAACAAAAAGGGGCACTTACTGAATTCTTTCCAACTGAAAATACTTCATAGGTAGGAAATAAACTAATTGGTATATTTATTTATCAAATAAATAGGCTGTATTTTCTCCTGTTGAATGAGCCCGAAAGTGTATTTTTTTTTAATTTGCCTCCCTTGACACCAAAGGCTGGAATACGCCACCGTGTACCATGATCCCTCTACATCCAAGAATATTTCAATAATTAGGAAATGTTGTATCTCGACCTTACTCTGTAATGACATTTGGTCGATAACACAATTCAGGAGTTGCACTGCCCCACTTGGGCGAGTTCCTGATTGTTTATTCGAATTCCGTTCAGGCTGAAGTCTACGTTAAAATATCGTGTCATAATGGAGCGAAAGAGAGTAACTTTCAAAGTGAAATTGTGGCGACGAAACCGTTTTTAAGCTTACAGGTGTGGACCAGATCAGAGAGATGGTATTTTGTGACCGCTGCTATTTTAAGGTCCAAGAAATCAGACAAATGTTGAAAGGGGATTATATTGGTACCCCCCCCCAAAAAATAGGGGGTATATCCCCATCCCTTTCGGGATCTACGCCCATGATCTATACAGGACCCCACCCCCCCAAAAAAAACACTGTCAGTAGGTCCTGGTGTCTTTACCCACTTCGAAGAAGCGACCTGGTTTCGTTTTTGGAGATAACGAATATATTTGCGAGAGCAATTACCTCCAACTGCTCTTCACGGGCGGTCATTTAAAGTCATTTATCATAAACAAAGACGAGTTCGGAAATGCAATTAAAAGAGGGTTTTGTTTTTCACTTCAACCTGAAATGGAAAAGGAAGTATTAGAACTTGTGTATAAACTTAATAGTCTTAATGGCTACATCATCTAGAAAGCAATCTTGATGATTAAATTCAGGAATACTGTTAGCTATCTTAATCCATTGTGCTCAGAGATTCTTACCTCAAAACTGAGATGGTAACTTGCTCGTAATATGTTAAAAATGGCTAAAAGATACCAGAATTTTGTTAAATTAAACATCACAGCAGACGACAACGGCACGTATAGTCACAGGAGGGACTATTGGTGTCTAGGTAGCCGTAACCAAAAGCTTTCAAAATCTTTTTGAAACGGAAATAGCGTTGCTCTGGAGGGCAAGAAGACGAAGAGTCTTGAATATTTCGATAAATCATATTTTTCAACTTCATTATCCATAATCGGATACCCTTGAGGAGTGGCAAAAAAGAAGTCGAACTTTACTTCAATATAGGTTTTCCCCGCCAATTTCGGAAAATGCGCGATCTAAAATAAAATTTCAATTTTAGCGTAGATTTTGAACACGAGTTAAACCTGGTTTCTTTTTCGCAAAAGCAAATAATTCACTTACACATTTTTCGAAATCAGCCGGGAAAACCAATGGTTTGAGTTAATTTTGACAGACTTGCAGGGAATCAGGGCGAGTTCGATTTCCCCACTCCCTCAACACTATCTCAATAGTTTCCCACTCAGTCTTCAACGACCTGTGCTTACCTAAGCTTCTCGTCTCCATTTGCAGTGCTGACAGCAGCATATGACGTAAACGAAAACTCGCTAATTTATATTTCACAAAAATGTAATCAAATTTACAAATTCAAGATCCCTTTTCAGTGCGACAAGTCCCGGCTAAAACCTTTAGCAACATTCCTTTACCGACATTAAAGTCACAGATGGCAGTTTTAACAAAGCAAATTATTCGGTGGCACGTCGGTGAGTTTATACATCTTTACTCCAATTCCATCTCAGTGCCTAGATTTCATCATTGAACACCTGCTCAGGGAACAAACACCTTTGCAAAGTGAAAGCTCTTTGACTGATTTCACTTTGGACCTGTTTAAACTGAGGCTCATTTCATGACATTAATCAAGAAAAAAGACAGCGCAGCAAAACGTGAAGACAGTGACAAATCTCGTTCAAATAACTCTTTTTTGTTTGTCAATTGAACCTTATACAACAGAAAACTCGTAAATGGCACTAATGACTGCTCCTACAGGCTCTAACAAAGACAGGAAAATGTGATTAACCGCATTAACCATCTGTGCCTGACTTTCGTTTGATGCTTATCTTGAGAAATCGACCCAAATCACACGTACACGACAACCAAACGGTATACTCTTTGCTGCTGTACTAATTTCTCCAAAAAACAGCTTTTGTGCAGTTTGTATTAATTTCGTTTAAAAAAGTTCAGTTGTGCAACTGGCGTCGAAAAAGATTGGGAGTGTGCTCCGACGCCCCCGTCTATATGCTGCAGTTCGTACGTCATCAAAATTGATTCCTCTCTGCTTCTCTGGCTAGAGGTCCTCGCTTTGACGTGGCAATTCCCTTGTATAACACGGGCCACGCGTGATTGTGATTGGTTTGCATTTGTTGCATTGTGATAGACACTTAGTTGTGATAGGTTCATACCGATGACATCATGAAGGCAGTTCAATTCAGTTGGAGGAAGTTTTCCGCATTACAGTGTATGCCTTGTGGTGATTCGCGGGGATTGGTTACCCAAAAAGAGGAGTACTTGACTTTGAAGCAGGGGCTGGTTTAAAGATAACTGTAGGCCTTTGTCTTTTAAATAGATGTACCTCCAGGATCATTCTTCTCTGAAACACTGTGAAGTCATCTTCCAGCATGACATCGTTTAAGCACATTGCCATCCTTGCACTGATTGCGATCGGGGCTTTCGCCAACGACGCAGTTAACGACGATCCCATCCTTGAGAGGGAAGCAAAAGGATTGAAGGCACAAGGACTCTACCAGCAACAAGTCATCATCAACCCGCAGGATGATCCAGCGTGCTCTGGGACCGTCTGTAACTACTCTAAAATTCAAGATATTGTTTTCGATGAAGTGAAGAGCGTCAAACTTGAACTAGGCCAGATAAAGGAATCAGTCTCAGAGCTAGTTGAGCTCCTGAAAAAAACGCCAGGCACGTTGTACTATAATGACTTTTCATTGTCAAGAATTGACCGAAATTCATTTCTTTAAGATGTTTTCCCTGATAAGCAAGGGATCCTCACCAGATTACTCTGGTCATCCATAACAGAGCAAATGCATTTCAACATATGTATGGCTTAAAATATCTTAAATTAAGTTTATTTCCATTCAGGTTGGATTGTAGGCATAACATCTATTCCTTGGAAGATTTTGTTAATTCATTTTTTTTTTAATTTTTACAATTTATGTTAATCTCTGTTTGCGCATTGAACCCGTCTTATCCCTGCCACCTCTCCTCACCCTCCAGTTACCCCACCTACGTCTCCCAAAGACTGTTCTGAAGCTTTTACAAACGGTGCAACAGCCAGTGGTGTGTACACGGTTCAACCTGAAGATGATGGCAGTCCGTTCGAGGTGTACTGCGATATGGAGACAGACGGTGGTGGATGGACCGTGAGTTCTGAGCAGTATGATTGGGTTTACGGGTTTGCAGTACCGGTTTTAGGCGCTCTTATCACTGAATATGCGAACGCTCATAGCATGCATCGGGGATTATTAGTAATGCTAATTTACTGGTAGCAAATATTTTGCAGTACCACTTATATTTGCAAGCCTCAGTCCTTTCCATTTGTAGTCCCCACCAATCGTGCCTGCCGCAGTTGTTGGGTAAATCATTCGTCGCTTCCAAGATTTTTTCCACAGCATTTTTGTTGAACTAAGAGAATGCTCTGAAATCGTTTTCTTGCGTTATCTAAAGGTGTTCCAGCGGCGTCAAGATGGTTCTGTTGACTTTTACCTTGGATGGGAGAGCTACCGCCAGGGGTTCGGTAATCTAGACGGTGAGTTCTGGCTTGGCAATGACAACTTGCATCGACTCACCGCTCAGGGTGATTACCGACTGCGTGTCGATCTTGAGGACTTCGAAAACAACACCAGATATGCAGTATACAACTCGTTCCGCGTCGCTAATGCGAGCACCAACTACCAGTTGACGGTGGGAAACTATTCAGGGACGGCCGGTAGGTCATCGCTTTGATATCTCATAAAAACCTGCATTTGCAAGAGGTTGCAATGATAATAAATATTGAAATAACATAAAAGGAACTACCATTTCATCATTTCGTTTTCGAGTGGTGTTCTTGTCAATAAAATCAGTTGGCTTTGAGTTGGAGAACACTGACATAATATCGACACTGCATAGGTCTACTCGGTGTTCTGCGGCAGTTGAGGAATAAATCATAAGTTTGCTTGGATATGATTCTAATCCATATTTCTCTGCTTGAGGCTGGCTCGAATCCAATGCTGTAGCGAATGGCGCAAGTACAGTAGTCAATGATGTGAAAAGGAGACTTTGAGACGCTGGTGGAAGTAGACATAACGGTCCTTTTCAAGGTATCGCGCATGCTCAGATCTTTTCACGCATGCTCAGGAATGAATAAAAGGACTGGTATGTCTGTCGTCACACACCGTATCAAAGTATCCCATTGGCTTAGTGTCGGGGATGTTAATTATGCTTGGTTTTGCTAAGTTTTCAGTTTTGATTTTATGATTACGTGTATCTAAGAAAATGCATTTCGTATATTTTTTTAATTAGCGCACACGATTTTTTTGACATAAGAGGATTTTTAAATTCTCGGTCAAAGAGTAATCGAATTCATGTATTTTTATTATCTTTTTCACCAACCATCACGAACGTTTTTCTGTGTTATATTTTTGACATAAAAGTTGCCTAGATGTTCTATCTGCATTCATAATGTCCCACCGGTACTCAATCATTTCAGGTGATTCACTGCTGTACCACAATAACCAAGCCTTTTCAACTCGGGACCGTGACAATGACTCTTCTTCCGGTAACTGTGCCACTGGTTATGCTGGCTCGTGGTGGTACAATGCCTGTTTCCGTTCAAACCTGAACGCCAATTATCTGCGTGGGCAAACGAGTGTGTACGGTAAAGGAGTAGTTTGGAGATCCTGGCGGGGATATTACTACTCACTGAAACATAGTGAGATGAAAATAAAAGCATGAATCCAGCTTTTATTGCCAGTGGGTAGCGAGTGCAGGTCCTCTTGTTAATAATCAGCCACCACAGAATCAACCCATAGACCATCGTTATCTCTATAGACCCAAAAGTCAGAACAATAAGATATTACTGATATTGACGTGTAAGATTTACATTTTCTGTTTCTGGGAAGCTGGACTCGGTTAAGAGTGAATCCTTCATTCAATAAAGCACATCCCTGTCCGTCTCCCGTGGCATTATACGAGTGTGATAACCACGGAGGAATAAACCAAACCGTAAGCTGTTTTTCCTCATGTTTCAAGTTCAATTTAAACACTGTCAGGAGCTAGGCCTACCTCATTTGTTTTTCGCTGTTATGGTAGAGGGGCACTTTTAGGTAATAATGAATTAAGTATGTTCTTTTGAGTAAGGTGAGAATGGTTTCATTTAAGGGTTGTGGGTGTGCAAATATTTTACAGCAGAATATACCCGTGTTACTCGGAAAAAATAGTTTCGAAACCATCAGATCACCCATTTCTAGCATTTGAGAACATCATTATAACATGATTATAAGCATTTCATAGATTGCTCATCATCCGTCGGTCGATCCGTCTCTTGCATGATCGAACCGTTGTTGATACTAATTAGGCGGTTGGTTAAATATAATTATGCTCGATTAGCACAGGTCCATGTTTTGGAACGGTTACAGTGGTAATACATGTATCTGTTTTGCTTGTTTTTCATATTCATTTTCAATTTCATAATTGTTGGTGGAGACACACTGACACACGCTACTCGATTATTTCTCGCTTCTTTCATTTGAAAACTTAAATTGGTAACAAGTCTGCTTTCGCTCCATCAATTCATAAGAAACCGAGCAGATCCGGTGGCGGATATAATATTATGCTTTACAGTGTAGGCAAATAGCACGGATGCAGAAGATAAGATCAGCAAGTGACAATCATTTTACTGTAGTCTTTAGGTCACGTGACATCAGTCTTCAAAATAAGTTCAACTTCAATTAAAAAAATAGAAGTCTGCAAACTGGTTTGCGGTGTTTGACTTTACTTGGAGTATTTTAAAATTTCCATTCTCCTTTCAAATTAGAAGCGTACATGTACTTCAGATGAACGGTCGTTGTCTATAATAATCATAACGGAATAAGGCTTCAGAAAGACCCTTCGAAGCAGTTTTTGTCGTCATGTCTTGTTCAACCAGTAAAAAGGGTTATCCAAAAATTCATAGAAAGATTGTGTCTTAAACTGGAAAGAGCAGTTGATAATTATTTGTTATGAAAGCAATTTTTAGTTTAAGCTGCAAAGTGATGAAAGGTTTGCCAGCAAACCGTTGTCCAGTGAACAGTTTTTCCCCTCGCTAATGAGGTCTGCATCACCAACGTCCAGTGTTGAGCAATGCAGCAGAATCAAACGGTCCTCACACAATGCATCGGCTTCGGCCATAGGCCTTAAGCTGGACCAAAACAGGGCCCTATTTTCTTAGCAACGGAAGATCCTTTGGTCGGAACTAAATTTAGCTGGTTCACGAACGACTAGGAAATGAACGCGTCACTGTCTCATCGCTACCAACAAATTGAACGCTCCCGACCACCAACGCGGCTCTTTTTAACCGATGAGGAGGTGCTTCTGCTCGAGGCGGATAATAAATGTCATGCACGTAAACCGTCAGTCAAAAGCTGACCCAAAATACGCAATGGCCAAAAACAGGCAAATTTGGCAAGGCACATTTTCAAAGTTATTTTATTCTTATAGGCCTACTGTCTATTATTGTTCATTTGGATTTCCCAAGACGGCTAATAAGCAAATTATGAGCAGAGTGAAATATGGTAACTTAAACTAAAATCCATTATGGCCAAATGGAATTTGAATGAAATTCGTAATTTATAAATATGTGCTTCATGTCATTCATTCATCGTTATGATCCTAGATCCAAACTCTGTCCTGTCTTTGATTATGTCAAATATTTAAATATGTTCTCTCGACAGCCTAAGGGGTATTGCTTACTGACGGTCTACCCCGGAGGGCCCCCAAAAGTATGAAACGTATAGGAGACACAAACATTAGATCCCGTTAAATCCCCTTCTGACATCTAACTCTTTCACTTCCTGGGTCATCTTTGCAGTCAACAGCGACAGTAATGAAACAGACCAGGACCGTGGATGGAAGCATCTTGATTTGTTTATGTTCTTCGCTTGAACAAAGATCAATTCATTTAACTTTGTCACAGTCCCGTCAACTTTTAATTCAGGAAGTGAAATGCAAAAAAGCCCGACCGGGCACTACATTCCACCTTTTTTATTGGTAACATCGCCATCAATTATAAAAGCCTGGAATAATGTCGTTTCTTATTTCACATTTTGGACAGAAGTATGTTGTAACTTGTATATCGACTGGCATAATTCAGTCGCGTATAATATTGTACGACCATCCTCAAAGACCAGTGAGGGCCCTTCTGGTTACGGTCCGTTGAGACGCCTGTATACGTAGGCCTACTCAAATAACCTCAATGCAAGTCCAGGTGAACCAAAAAAAACTACAGAGAATTTTTTAAGCATCTTGACACTGGTTATTTGACACCAAAAATAATCCATAAGGCAATACACGTACGCTATACATGTAAATGCTTTCTCATAAAACAAGTTCACACCTCAGAAAAGCAAAAATCCTCCGGAAAATTCTCTGGAAGCTGTGGCCAAAATGAAAGCTAAACTGCGACAGTTTATGGCTGTTGTGTTGTTATTATTAAAAAAATCTTTTAAGTAAACATTTATTACGTCATTAAATTTGGGTGCAGAACTTTTAGAGTTCCAATGAATTATTTTATTCACACCGTCGTGGGTTAACACTGACTGCTGGCATACAACAAATCCTATTTACTGTGAGATACACGAGGTGAAAGAGATCAGGACAAGTCGCAGGTTTGTTTGATAGGTATAATACAAAGACTGACATGGCTACTGCTTTCATCCATTAATTAAATATTGTTGTCGAGAGAAATAAGCCTGTGTAACAGTAATTATAATTGGCATTATTACATCAGGTAGTTCGAAAAGGTCCTCTGATGACATTCAGTCGGAATCTTTAGCAAATAATTGAACTTTCTTATTGTAGCAAAGTATACGGAGTTTCACCATAATTAAACTACCAATTAACTGATCTAACGAGTTTCACGATTGCTAAAGTATGCAAAGTAAATAACTCACGAATTCATGAATGGAGTCCACAGACGTCCACTGGCCCCAAACCTTTGAAAAGAGAGTGAACGCGGTATCATAGGGATGTGTCGACATAGAATGAAAATGAAATCAGACTGAAGACCGGACGATGCTTTCATAGCATGTTATTAGCAGCATTCATTCAACTCCATTTTGTTCGTTATAGGGTGTGCATCGGAATAGGGGACCATTTGCCCGACTCCTGTCGGGTAGCGGTTAAAATCTCAGGCACTCTACTACAAAAAAAAATCAGTTGAAACACTGGAAATTAAGTTTTTTTTAATTTGCTGTTAAATATAAACCAAGCTTCTCGTGTTGGAATGGTAAATTGATATTACGTGCAAAGGTTATTGGTTAGCTTTATGCGTGAAACATTAGATTAGGTCCCCCCAAAAGTCTCGGGTTTCTAGTCAGGGGCTGGCTCCAAAAGTGGTGAGGCGACGCGTTCTTCTCTCCTCACTTTTTCCCCTACAAATGATGTGCTTGTACGTACGTGTACGCCCCGCCGGATGCAATGCGCGATATGGGGCCGATGGGTACCCCCCCCCCACACACTCACATGTAAATATAAACACTCTAGACTATTGTTACCCAACACATCTCCCCTCCCGATGAGGTCTGTAAAGAATTCCTGAGATTCCGATCAAACAATGACCAACACAAAGGCGCGGGGGGGGGGTTCTCTCCGCCCCATATCTTGCATCATATATGGACCGCCGCTATCAACACTGATATAGACTGGCCCGCTCACTGTTACTGTTCAAAAGCGTTTCAGCTTGTAGATGTACAGGACATAAGACTATCTCATCTCGTTTGTCTGGTTCCCGGATGTGCGGCAGTGTCCGAATCAATTGGCTACGGCCGGTAGTTACGCAGGAGTCTACGGCAGTGGCCGCCGCCAGTTCCCATAAAATGGTGTGTAATTTCCAACCGTAGCCAAATGAAAAGCGCAGCAGCCGGCTTCCAGTCGATCAAGCAAGTTTGGCAGCTTTTAACAATCAAAACACTTTTTATTTTGTTGACAGGGAAGATCTACAGCGACGCACGTGCTAACCTGAAAGCGGAGACTTTTTGGCCTTAGTGGCGTAGCATTTCATTTCATTCGTGTCATTTATTGTTTTGCAGGTAACAATAAGATAACAGTGGGTAGAAAAAAGGAAATACTCCTAGATGAAGAAACAAAACAGGATTAGGACACAAAAACAGGACAGAAACACAGCATGAAGTCGTTCCCTTGCAGCATTGCTGAAGAGACAATGCTGAATCACTGTTGAATAGCTCTCCAAAAACAGATCAGTGTAAACTAATTAACTAAACTACTATAGCACTAAGAGAAGTCACAAACCCGAATTTAAAAAAAAAATCCCCATAAAAATAGCAAGATGGGATATTTCGCAAAAGACTTAAAACGACTCTTTGAAAAAAGAAAGGCAAATGTAACTCATCTCATCCGTACAAAGAAATACAAGCAAGACATGTATCAACCCACTGATCTATGTCGGGTCTGGAGTCAGCCAATGAATCAACGTGCAGTTAGCAACCCACTCCCCATCCAGCATGAGAAAAAATTAACATTTAACTGGAAGAAAACATTATAGCTCCATCTCATCCATACAAAAGACCCCTATTTTACACCTATAGAGCCATCCAGTGTACTTCAACATGGTAATAAATGTGTTAGAATTAAAAAATCCAACTTGGGTGACATTTCTTGTAACGTACCCAGGGGCCAGGTGCAGACATGTTTTCAAGGGTCAACGAAAGTCGATGAATAAGCCATTTGCGAGTTAAATTTGAATAAAATCTAGTGCACTGAGTTATCGGACGGTACATAAACATAACAATTTGAATTCCCGAGACGAAAGACACTATCGCTATACCTCGTGATTCAGGGCAAGCCTTCGCATAGCGACCACCATCTCTGGAATGGACTGGTTCATTTGTGCCCTTCTCATCCATTGAGAACAGTGTATTGTTGCAAGGCGTCTCTTATGTAACTAAGCAAAAGCTTGCACCAAATCACTAGTTATAGCAATAGTGGTTTTAGTGAGGAGACTTCAAGTTGTTATGTTCACATGAATTTAAAGAACTCAGTGTACCAGATTTGGGTCAAAGTTAACTTGCAAAAGGCTTATTGCTGGGGGCTACTGGGCATGCACCTCCGATGGGGGAGGAGCAACCCCTGTATACCGCCCCCTTCCGTAGCTATACGACACATAAAATGCACTTCTCGGATAAGTGGGGTTTCTTTTTCGGGTCCCCAGATTTCGGGTCCCAATTAAATTCAATATGGTTTAACTTCCGTGCTATTTGTACCCGTAAATGTATACACTACTGCTGTTCCACTGTTGTTTGTTGTGAAGTTTTGAGATTTAAATGACTTGGCTTTTAATTTACAGCCATCCAGTGTAAACGTAAGGCATATTAAAGTACATGTACAAAGAAAAGGTCGTAATAATGTATCACTATGTCGCCAAGCCTGTAAAATGAATTGACACTTTGAGCTTAAAACATAACTTGTTCTGATTAGTCACAAATGCAAATCTACGGGTCGGCAAGTTTGACGAGCACATCTGGTATTTAACTTGTGTTAAAGGTGTAACTTCTAATCTCAATTCTCTTAAAAAATACTCGTTTATGCAAAACCTTTCATTCAGTCTCCATGTAGAAAATCTGTCGTATGTCTAAAACGTAAAGCCTCAGCGAAGCACAGGCTATAGGCACGCATATCAGGCTAATTGGATTTCTGACACCAATTTGAATTATTGCTAACGCATTTTTTCTAAAAAACACAGCAAATCATCATGCAGACTTCTCAATTGACATTCTGGGAGAGAGAAGTGCCCTTATAAAAAAAAATACTATGAAATCAAAATAGAGAAAAGGGAAAGGACACATTTCCATTCACCTATTCATTCTATTTAAATGATAAATTAAAGTATAAAGTTCAAACAGCAAAAGTGAAAATGGAACAAAAACAGGTTTTCCAGTTGATCTAACACTAGAGTTTATGGAGGGATACTATACTTTCGATCCCATAACACCGCTGGACTAAGTATTGGCTTGCTGGTCTTTTGTGAAGATTGGCAAAGTATATTATCCTTGTCTCTTAAACTCAGACTGTGAATTCAAAAGGCATTAAGTGCGACTAATGAATAAGCCATTCTTGAATATACACCCCGGATTTCTAGCTTGGGGGCTGAGGTAATAAAATAAAGTGACAATACTGCGAACGCATTTTCTGTTTATGGCTGACTAGTATACGTGTACGTCTGGCACTTTAATCCTCATGCACATCGAACGAGTGCTCGTCTAAAGGGTGCTGGGGACGAAACCCTTTACCCTCGAACTCACACCTTGAGCCATCCTTTTCCAGTCATTATTGTGGATTTTGCCTGTGAATGGTAATACGTGTGCCCATACGATTTGCTTCCCATGAACGTTGTCATTCCATTGTGGCGCTTCGTGTACCTATCGGCGTTTAGCAATCTGACACTTTTAACAAATGTATTAAATTTTTAAATCCAATTTGGCAGTCTCCACTGCAAAAGCCCCATATGCGGGTAGACTTTGAAACAGATCCATAACAACGAATGCTTGTTAAAGGCTTAACTCTTTTCAATCCAAGCAACTTTCACCTAATGGACTAAATCTAAAGAAGTGGAATAAATTTAAAGAAATAAAATACCATGTATCTTCAGGGCTTGAACGACTAACAAGATGAGAATTCTTTCACAAAATGGCAAATTACTGTTTGAATCTTGCACTTGATTATTTGATCAAAATTCCACAAAATGGAGCAAAACCTGATGAGCGATAACATTTGGCAATTCACAACTTTCAGGTCAAAATTCCAGAGAAATTTCCCCCTTGATATAAGCGTGTGAACATTACCGATAAAACCCAACGATGGTGTGCAACAATAAATGATATTTACCTCAGATGAGCCTCTTAAGGTTGGGATTGTGGGAGAAATCTGCGTGCGTCCCTTTGTATCAGACGCAGGTCTCATCTGTTTCCGACTCAGGTGTTTTTTGCTTCGCTGGGGTGGAGTCCTCAGCGACATCTGCGTCCGGTTTCGACGGAGCTCTAAGCTGCTCCACTAGGTTCTCTTCAGACTCCGTCATGACAGGAATGGGGGCGACCTGTGCGGTCTCCATTTCAGTCGTTGTACTTTTGAGGTAAGCCGACTCCTTGTGCGCCTTTAGGGTGTCGTCTTCATGTAGACTTTCCTTGGTATTCACGACTTCTTTGAGTGAAACAAACACAATATGACAATAACAAAAGTTTATTGACGGTTTTAAAAGGGACGCTAGAATTATTACGGGCCAAAAGAGAATAAACCTGTTGGCATTCCCAATACGCCTTAACATTGTGTGACAAGCGAACCACGGATTTATGCACGAGCCTATGAGAAAAGTGAAACTTGTCAGGTATTGTTTCTTTCCTTGGGAACTTTCTTTAGCAACTTGCTCATCAAGTCACAAAATTAATGCAAAGTCTACAAACCAAAATATTAACAAAATAAAAGCGCATAAAAAAGAAAAATACCTCAAAAGATCTTTTTGAAATCACCTTTAATACCAATGGAGGCTGATCAATGCTTTGCTTGTCCACTTTGCACATCCCAGATTTGCGCTTCGTATGCGCTCTTGTTTATCGTCCATTACCAGGAACAAATGCTGCTTCCGAAAGGTTTATTGAGGTCACAGAATGAAATATGTACTGAAAACTCCATGGTAACAGGGAGTGCATCTCAGCACTTTCACATTCAACCGTAGCACTACGGTTGCGACCACTGCAAATGACGGCTGTGGGTTCCGACAACGATTGGTTTCGAGTTGATAAACCGAACTGAACTGGTGAATCATTGTATTCCCCCCAAAATACTTTTTTCCATTTTAAACGATCACAATAGTGATGCACAGCCTATATAGGAAAAGATTCAAACATTTGAGATGGAGTACGGTCTGCGATTTACGACCCAATGCACCGACCCGGGCTACACTTAGGTAACACGGGTCATCGGTGGAAAGTTGTCGGCCGGTGTTCCTGGTGAAGTTGGCCTGTTGTCCGGAGATATTCGAAGGGCCCGTCCACTAGAGGACTGGGAGTAGTCCAGGTCGGGATGGACAAAGAGGGTGGGTTAACAAGGAATTTTATAGCATTTCGTTCAAACTGTGGTAAATTCCTTTTGTGTGACGCTGTTTCTTGTGTAATGTATATAATCTAAATGCCTGTAATTTTTGTATTTCAATACAAAGACCATAATTTACGGACGTAACAAATGCCAATTGTCACGAGACGAATTAATTTAATCCATTGGTGATATTTACAAATCGATATAGAAACCAGAGCTCGCCCAATGTTGAGAGACGAAATTAAAGTAGTTTTGGAGAAAACCCTATTCCAAGCCAAAGCCACAAACTTGTGAATGGGTATTTGAATAGAGTAATGATGTTTCACAAGAAACTATCAACGTCAAAGGATTTTGTAAATGCTTAAAGTTTAGGATAGCGGAGATTTTTTCAAGTGCGCCACATGGAACACTCAGATGAATTCGACCCTAATTTCCAGACACCGACAGCTTTGATTTCGAACAAAATTTCATGACACTGAAATTGTTTACAAAGGTTTAACACCATGTATCATGAAGGTTATTGTACAAGGTTTTAACCGAATGAGGTTTAAATTTTTCAAGAAAGAGGTTGGGCAAAAACGCTGTGTGAGGAAAGTCCCGTGAACGTCCAAGTGAAAGGCGCCACGTTTAATACGGGACTCGAATACCTTACACGTGTACATGTAAATTTCCTAGCTCTGTGGTTTAGACGACGCGTCGCGACGGCGCCAAGCAGATATACGGAGGTGGTGGCGCCCTTTCTCTCAAACTGCAACTTCCTGTTATCTTCCTTCATAGTCATACTGCATGCAGTGCGTGTATCTTTCTCCGGTCCAACGATCTGGCTATAATCATGGAGGAATAAAACACCTCCTCTGTGTCCTCCATGCTTTAATTTGCTACACACTGAAAAACCTAGGCAATGGCGGCTCTAGATGAGCCACTGTCCAAGAAGAAACATGACCAACAAGCAATCCAAAGGCTTTTCCTTTCGTTGGTGCCTCATTTACTCGAGGTCGAACACCAGACGAGTAATGCGAGTTTCAGCACAGATTTTCACGAGCGAAACGCAAGACGACAACGGAGTGAAAGGCAAATTCGCAGAAGGCTTCAATCTCGAGTCAGCAAAATGCGATCAATGTACATCCCATTTAAGCTGACCAATGGTAAGCCATGCCGCATGATCTGTGAGTAGCACTTGATTGAACCACGGACCATTTACCCAGGGATGTTCAACTTAAGCTCAGAGCTGGTTCCGTGCGTGTTACGGCCGGCACAATTTCCAAGCAGAAATTAAGTTGGATTATGTCACACTTTCTCTAATAATAAAACATATATTCCACTACCACTTTGTTTTTTGTAATATTTTAAGTCAGGGTAGGCCTACACTCTTTCTAAAAATATGCTGCTCACGATATTTCATCCTATACATTTTTAAAAATGTGTACCACAAAATTGGGGAATTTGCCTCATTAAAACTTGTTTCTCCTTGAAATTGATAAATGAAGATTTATTCGTCAAAACGAGTAGATTAAAGCACCATGTCGTGGTGTCATCTCGGCATAACCACGGCTGCACTGTACATGCTGCAACCCGTGTCATGTGGTCGCGAGTTTTTTCGAGAAAGTCAAGAGCACCTGCGGGGGTAATAATAATCCATAACATGCGTGGAACCAAGGTCGCACATGTGTTTGCAGTGGGGCTGCTCACGGTTGCACATCCCTGGGTAAATGGTCCGTGATTGAACTCAAGCTGGTTATGCCACTTGATCATGTTGGTCAGCTTTTGTTCATCCAATTGTGTCGATTTATTTCTTGACTCAACATGTTATGGCGTTTGCTACGGCATGTTAAGTCCAGCCCTGATTGTCAGATTTGGAATCCACTGGCTCAAACAAATCTTGGCTAAAACAATTTGCTGATTATTAGAGTGTTTAACGCGTCCACCTGACAATTTTTGACGCGATGACAATCACCTGATCACACTGCATTGAGTGCATGTTTACTGCACATGCATTGGGTCAATGGCTATCCACTGTATACATACATATATGTGTATCTACTCAACCAGTTTTAGGAGTGGGGGATACATCTCTGGTGCCAGGGTGCTGTTCACTGCATTGTGTAAGTGTAATAAGTGCAAAGTTTCGAGTATTGCCCTACTGACAGTGACAGCGGCATGCATGTATGTAGGCCTACATGTACATGTATGTGCACACCAATTACACCAAGAAACATGTCTATATAAGGAAAGGTGCCTTAACACTGAGGCATAGCCACCGGGGGGCCTTGGGGCACGTGTTCCCCACAAATTCCCGGTGCCTCCCAGATGACCTCCCCCCCCACTAAAAAACGGATGAATGGATACTGAACTAGGCTAACAAAAGCTTGCCCCCAAAAACACACCACTGAAAGCTTGTGTCCCCCATAAGATGCCGGTGCCCCCCTCCCTTGAGTTCCTTCCCTCTCCCACTATTAAAATTCTAGATAAGCCTTATCTCAGGAAATTTTCAAGAACAGGCCCACAAGTTTTCTGTTATTTTCTTCCATTTTTGATTACGAATTTGATGACGTAATAAGGAGGCTCGATCTCTGCTGTATCAGTAGTATACAATGATATTGATGGCAAATCATCCACAAAAATGCAAGTATGATGTGATGTAATTTATGTATTGGATTTCCCCATCTACTTATAGGCATAGCACACAGTCCCATTAGGTTCTGAATTGTTGGCATACGGAAAGGTTGTGCAAAAGTGATGATGAATATGCAAAATAATAAAAAGAAAAATTGAGGTATTTTTTTAATGTTTGAATCTGCAAAGAAAAGTAATCTATAAAAATCCAGTATTTACAAATATTGATAACTTTCTGTGAAATTGGTTGAGCTAATTGTGGAAATAGGTGGAATTCCTTGTGACCAAAGACCACTCAAAGTAGTCAAACTATTTTTGGTCTGCGAACCAGATTAGATTAATTGCTTTTCATTTGCTTATTTTTATGCAAGGTTTAATCAACAAAATATAAGCAAGTAGTCAAATGCAAGATTTATTTACATGTAGTTTCTGAAACATCTTTACGATTCTTGTCATTTTTATGCCTAAAATTCAACTACAATGTGTCATTGTGTTCACAATATTTTTTGGAGTTTTAAACCAGTCCCTTGTGCCTTACTGAAAGGAAGCACATATCTTCAAAAAGTGTAAATCCAAGAGAAATATGTAATCAAATATTCAACACATCAGTTACTTGAGCAACAAAATAATACTTGAGGACTTACAAATGAATAACAGAAAAATTCCATTCTGTTTAAACCTTAGGATTAACACTAACAGCTGGTGATGATCTCACCGCTGAAAGACGAGTGTGGGCGAGGGAAAGGAGCAGTATGTGGTGGGATGTTGTAGTCAAAGATCACTGGACTGACCAAGACTGGATAGAAAACTTCAGGTACTTATTCTTGGAGGGTCGATGTAGGGACTTTTTGTTAGATGTTCAAGCAACTTTACTCCCTTCTTAAAAATTATGTGGCATTCTTTGAGCCACAAGTGTTTGGAAGGTCCATTTTTTGTCCACACAAGGGTGTTGTTGCCGAGTGGTCTTTTTTTTTAATTTCAACATTTCAACATTGCCCTACAAAGACACATAGATAGTACATTGCTATACTTTTTATCTATTTTTTTACTATTTATCCAACAGTACTTTAAGCACCCGTTATAGGATGCTTACAGGTGACAATGTACCTGCAGATAAGTTCAGTTTTAGGGGTGGGAGGAAAAACCCCAAGACAAATGCAGTGGGGAAAGCCATTAAATCAGACAGGGACTGAAATCCCATTCCACATGCTAACTTGGGTGGGGTTTAAACCTGAGACATGTGAAATAGGAGACATGGGAAGTGACAAAAGTTCCACAATGCCAACCTGGCTCCCTGGGCTGTGTGTGAAGTGTGTACTATATACAGTTGTGGCTGCAATTTCTATGCAGTCCCTATACATGCATCTCCATGTATCTGTCTCCGTTAACCTTATTTTCAATAGTTTGGTTCTATTCTAAACAATGCCATGTCTCGCACAGTCTATTACATAGTTTCAATGGCCTTGACAGCTAAACTAAGTGCAAAAACTGAGCTTGCCTTAAACAAGCTGTGAGTTTTCTGCAACTTGTTCCTCTCAGCATTACAGGTATACATGTATGTGCACATTCAGTAGAAAAAAAAACTTGAGTATGCTCACACCTGTGTGAGACAATAGCAAGTGGTGTTGTCAAGTACTTGTACATTGTAGACACAATTCAAGGCAACAAGCTATTAATGAGGTGTAATAAATGCATTCCTTTGTTATTGTTTGCCCATTATTAGTTGATTAGAGGTACTGGTGAAATACTTTACTGCAACACTGCAGAAGAAAAAATAGTAAAGTGGATTAAACATTTTTTGCCCTATCCTTTTTTGCAACAGAATGACCAAAGCCACTTTCACATACATCTGTGAGAAGGTGCGTGATAAGATAACATACCACAACACTAACATGCGCCGGGCATTGCCAGTGGAGCAGAGACTAGCAATCACAATATGGAGGCTTGCTACCAACTGTGGATACCGCATCATAGGCGATTTGTTTGGTGTTGGTGTATCTACGGTTTGCACGATCATACAGCAGACATGCAAGGCGCTAGCATCATCTATGCAACAAGAGTTTCTGGTTTTACCCACCAAAGAGAAGCTTCAGGTAAATGTCCTGGACTTTCAATCCCTTATGCCATGGCATCTTCTTTTCAAAGAGCAGTCTGTATACACATTTTTGTTTGGATTTACAGTTCATTAGAATCTCAATGTGCATTTCTCCTTATTTTCTTGTTTTTCAAATTCCTCAAAGAGTCTTTGGGTTTGGGTTTTTAAGGCTTTAAAAACCTTCGCATAACAAAACGTCCTCGGATGAGATTTGGGAAAGAAAAGAAATCTTCAACAACATTCAGCAGCTAGTGGTCAAAGCCATGTTAAAGCCATGTACTGTGGCTTTGGAGGGCTTTAACCACTAGCTGCCGGGGTTCCTTGTACTGGAGATGTTGCCACGTATTCATGGCTGGGGTGCACGGAATTGGGCCTTTATTCATGGCCAGAGTGACCAAACTCGTAACTAAAGACCAAGCTGCTGGGACTAGCCAGTCAAGGTTCATATGCTGTCAGCACAGAGTGCTAGCATGAGCAGAGGTAATCACTCATTGTTTCAAAACAGTACCATTGTTGCCGCTGCCAGCACCCAGGGATTATCAACGGGGACTAAAATATTCCACTTCTCCAGCAATGAGCAATACAATACTGCTGCACGCTCGTGGAATCTGGCCACATTAGTAAAGACAACACTGCCATTCAGCAAAGCTGGGCCAATTTCTGGAACAAAGAGGAAATTATGCAACACTGGGTGGTGCTTGTATTTCTCAAATCTAGGGACTTCTAGTGATGATTTTTGGGAAGCCATGGTAAAATTCTTGCCTTGTATCTTTAGTGATGTCCTTTATTCTGGCTTGCCTTTCTTGAATCATGATCATTTTTATGACGTGCTCACTGCAGGCAATCGTTGATGGGTTCATGAATGACTACGGTTTCCCTCAAATGGGTGGTTGCATTGGCACTTGTTACATTCCAATCAAGCGACCAGATTCAAACAATGCTCAGGAGTACATAACTGCCGAGGGTAATCCTGCTGTCATTCTTCAGGTAAGTTTAACAAAGTGCATGAAGTATTTGAACGTTAGAGACTATTACAAGCTGTACACATGAGTTAAGAGTGAGGTTGAGAATGAGTTTGCTTGTGAAGTACCCATTTTGCTGGGTCATTTCCCAAGACACTGTATGTATTCATTTCATGTCAGTATGTTGAAGTGTTACCACACAAAATGAGGATGTAACTGACTTGTTTATTAAACCCATACATGTACATGTATGTATCCATTACCATACCCATATATTCCTAAGAAATAGTCATGGCATTCATTACCATTAGCACCCTGTTCCTATTATAAGGAAACAAAGTCTACATTTTCGAAACAATTTACCTAAACAAGTTGGCGGTGATATCCTCTTTTATATCAGAAAGAAAAGAGGGAAGGGCTTTGGTTTTTGAGGGAAATTATGGGGTAAAATGGCAGCGTAAAATGACGTGACACAGAGCTGTGAATGAAGATGAATTCGCGCATGTAGTCTGTTTCCTTGACCTGGAACCATAGAAGTTTTCAGGTCAAAAATTCAGTATTATCCGCAGTGGCTGGGTCGGGTAACCAGATGTGAAACAATGGCACAATACGGTTATCTTTCACTGAGCTCGGGTAAAAAAATTCTGGTTTTTTGGCTTACATATTGTCAAAATTTACCTAAACTAGAGCTACTAGGATTAAGGAATAGATCCTGAAGGTCTGAATGTTAGTTAGTTTAAAAAAATGGACTTTGTTTTCCTTATCATAAGAACAGGGTGCTAATGGTAATGAACACCATAGTTACTGCCATCTGAGTTATGCAAATAAATACAGCACATGTATTGCAACATCACCGGCCTCCATTAGTTTTCATACAGGAAGCAAGCCACAACACTATACAAGACAGATGCATGTACATTTAACTGTAAATACTGTTTTCAAACACTGGAAAATCATCTATAGATATGTGTACATGTATATCTAGTGCCTGGCAAGATGTCAGGGCAAAAATATTCCATGTTTTTATTGTCCAAAGTAAATATAATTTTGAAGAATTTAATATTTACAGTTCCACTTAAAGATTTATGCACAGTTTGAATTTCCATATTCTGTGATAAATGACGAGGAATACGACAGCAAGAACCCTTTTATTGCAATTTTTCTCAACAAGTTAAAAACCCACACAATATTTGGTTTCACTTCTGTGAGGTCTAAAGTGAAACCGAGACAGTATAGAGAGGTTAAGTAATGGTACTTTCCTTGCTTTCTACCTCTGTGACCCGGGTTCAATTCCTGATTAGGTCAGTGTGTTAATTGGGTTCTCAGTCCCTTCCTGATTCTGTGGATTTCCCTAGAATATTTGCCCAGCGTTTTCGTCCCATCTCTTAGAACTGAACATTTCTTTGAACGGTTTATAACTGACTGGGCTTTACCTGGTTAAAAACATCCACATAACAAGCACCACATTTGTTAACTTTAGTTTTCCTTCTTTAAGTGCTGGCAAGCAAAATTTTTGTTTGTACTTGTTTGTTGTTGCTTTTTAAATAGGGAATAGTGGATAACAAGGGGCAGTTCTTAGATGTCAGTGCTGGCTGGCCTGGATCAACATCAGAAGTACAGATTCTACAACAATCCCACTTTTATGAATCAGTACGCAATGGAACGTTATTTCAAGCCAGTTCACTGGAAATTGAAGGGGAAAGCGTGCCTGTCGTGTTACTGGGAGGAGTTGGATACCCACTGCAGAAAAATTTGATGAAACCATTCGACGTGGAAGGAAGTGCTTTAACGGATTCACAGCATGTGTTCAACCAACAGGTATAATAGTACTGATCCATTTTGGCTTTGTTGACTGTGCAAGATGGCAGTAGATGACTACATTGTAAATCTAGTGTTTAAATCACTCAACTCTCACTACTGTGGCCCACGTCCCTGGGCCTGAGCCACCTGGGTGGTAGTGTTGCTTGATTTTCTACTGTACCAGGCATTTCTCAAGGCTCTAGTCTTACACCCACTGCAAAAACATGTACTTTCAACTTGCCATTTTGTGACTGCCTATTATTTGGCACCTAAAATATTGGCACATGCCTTCAGCTTGACCGTATTGTAGGATGCTTCCTTCAGAGTGATGTGATGCAAAAAAAAATTGGTCATCAGTAATGGCATGAAATGTTAGGGCTGGCAGGATCAAATGTTTGATTGTGAAATCTGTCTTTTTCTGTAGAGGTGTTTCATCCACAAGTAGGTTGCTTTGCCTTGAACATAGGAATATATATCACTAATTTTTTTTTTTACATGAATTAGGATATACGTGATCAGTGTTCTCCATGAGGGGTTTAAGCAGGGAAGGCCGCCCTACCAAAAGTTGAGACTGCCCCGTTAAAGTTGTGCAGCCCCGTCAAAATCCTCACCACCCTGCTATTTTTTGTATTGGATTGACCCTATTCTCCACCATCTTCACAGCTTATCTAAATGCAAAGAAGTTTATCGCACTTTATGGAGCGAACATGATGAGTTTGCTATCATTATTCAGCACAACAGAAAAGCACTACGCACTGTTTGTGATCAATGTCAGATGCAGTATACTTACGAAGGCAGAAAACTGGACTAGTTCCAGTCTCCCTGGTCATAGCACTTTCATTTTGTAGCGTTAAGAACCAATACCTCAAATGCTTTGTTTTTTCCTCGGAAGATACTGCCAATTTCCTACATATAGTTCCGAATTTTCCAAGATCCAGATCGCTTGAAATAAATTTTTTTTCTTTTGCTTCTAAACCTACTTCTTATGTGTTCTACATTCTCAAAACAAGTTCAGGTGAAATGTAAGCTTCTTGTACACGATTTTTGTTTTAGAAAACATCTGGAAAAGAAATTTTTACCAGCTAGATTTCCATCTCGAACTTCAGAATTTTTGAACGGTTTGTCAAAAATCATGAGAGCCCAAAAATCGACCAAAAAATACGGGGTGATAGGTCATTTTGTACATGTAATTCAAAACACTTGTTTCTTAACAGTCCTATAAACATTTGCATCTAATGTATGTTTGATCAAAATGACTTTTGGAGTTTCTGTTGTTTGTAAATTGGCCAAAAACTAAATGCATATTTTTTCTAGTTGTGGATTACACCGTAAGTGCACACACGTACGTTGTGAACTCAACTACATGGGCGTATTGGAAATGTATGTGATGTAATGGGTTTGTCAAGTGTGTAGCATAGGGGATAGTCTCTGATTACTCGCAGTACAGCTGAAAAACTGGAGTGAAAACTTACACAAGTTTCACTTGTTAATTCCCTGAAATTGTTATTTATGAAGTAATTTTCTCAAAATCAAGAAATTCTTAATTGGAAAATCAATTGGAAAAACAATTGTTGCTATTGGGAACTGGTTAAACTGACTCAGAACTAGAAGTGTTGTCACTTCTGACAATCCCATAAGTCCAAATTAAAACCTTAGATTTTGAAAGTAATTTTGTAGTTTTTCCAATACACGAGGTTGCAGACTGACCATATTTCACCAGAATTATAGGATTTTGTTGCTAGAATCTGACCATGGAGTTATTTTTGAGAACCGGCTTTAGGGAAGAGACTGTATATCATCCACTTGCACTGCGCCCGTATACGTACATGTACATGTAATCTCGAATCATCTGCTAGATGGCGAGTTCTGATAAGTAAAAAAAAAAATTCCCCGGAAAAAAATCAACTTTTGATGACCTCCAGATAACAATCTTGCCTTCATTTCAACACGAAAAAATTAGATTCAAGGAGTCTAAAGAAAGTGCTCAGGAAATACCTCAGATTGCACCACAGAGCATCTAGAATCCAAAATTTCCCGGGCCCTTGAGCTGGCCCGGACCCCACGCCATGCTATAATTTTAGGCTGTGGAGAACACTGCATGATATGTATATTATGGTTGTGAGATATTTGCTGGAAATTTCAGGCTTCCAGAGTCACACATGTGTATCATATACATATATGGTACATCAAATTCACAAATTCCTGATACGAGCCGACTTTCAGTCACCAAAATAACAAATAATTTTTGACATATTCTTGATTTTTCCTGTAGATGAATCGAGGGCTTTCAGTAGCAGCTATTGCTTTTGAGCGCCTCAAGAGACGGTGGCATGTCCTTCAGGAAAAGAATGAGAACAAAGTAGTATTTATTCCAGACATCGTTGCCACATGCTGCATTCTGCACAACCTGTGTGAACAGCGTGGTGAACCATCACCTATACCCCCTCAGGAACCACAACAAGGTCGTCCGTTAATTCTTCCCTGCCAAGAGAGTGACCCCAGTGCTGAAAGAACCCGCCATGCACTTGCTTCTTACTTCCTTAAAAGACTAGGGAATATGCAACATCTTTAAAGCTTGTTCATAAATGTTGGCATCATACGCGTTTCAGTACATCCTGTACCACTGAATGAGAGCCCAATGCCTAAATTCACCACTCAGGACTACAGAGACATCCCGTTTCAGTGGTCTTTCCGATGCTACGTCAAACAGGTGGGCGTGGTTGTAGCAACGATGGCATATAATACAAACTGGATGGCTAGTTTAAACGTAATGCTAGAGACTGTCTTCATAGGGAGTTTGTATGGAGTCAAAGTGTGGCAGAAGTTATATTTATACTATGGTTTGGGCCATGCAGTTGCACATATTGACTAAAGTATGGGATGATGGTTAATTGAAAGTTTTATTCCCAATAAAGAGTTGGACATTTTAATTGATTTGTAGTCTATAGCACTTTGATTCATAAACTAAACAAAAAGTTAATACAGTGGGGTGTGAGAATTAAGCTTTTTAGCTGATTTCAGCTTTTGTTTTTTAGATGTGGAGCCCAAATTTCAGCTTTTTTGGTATACCTAGTGTATACAAAAGTATTGAAACTGTTAACATTTCAGCTTTGATTTTTAGCTGGCCACTCACACCCTGGAGACAGAGCGTTTCATTTGAATTGCCATTAGGCCCAAAAATGAACAACAGTAAACCAAGACAAAGACATTGGAATGAACTTGTATTGAGGTGTGCAGTAAATGAGACCCATCTTGACAACATTGTGTCATTATTACAGGGCCAAAGGAAGGCACTTTCGTAAGGTTTTCCTCAAAAGAAGCCATGATTTTGTGAATTTGTACCATTTACATGTATGTGAGTTAGTGCAGTTTGTAAATAAATAACGCACACTGTTAAATTGCATTTTCTTGGTTAACGCTAATTACATGTAGATGTAATTGGTCAAAAATATAAAGATACACCAGAGAGATCACCACCTATACCACGGCTGGATTTCTATGGAGGGGGGGCAGTGGAGGGGGCAGAAGAACACTTGATTGCAAACATCATTGTAGCTACTGTACACAAGACTGCAGCTCACCAAATGTTAATCTGTACTTTCTAATCCCAGTTGATGCTGAGGTGCAGAATGTGTACCTTGTACACATTCATGATTGAGAGCCAAACTCTCATTGGTCCATTCATCTTTGCCAGTAGATAGTTTTGCTGCTTACCAGGCACTCGAGCAAAGATTTGAAGACAAGTCAAATATGTGTACTGAATTGTTAGCAGGAATACAGTTCAGTGGAATTGTCGCTCAGGTGTAGCACACACATGGAAGCATTACCCTATCTACACTACTGGCATACTACCCAGAACAGACGGTGGCATACACATGTGCTGACTTTCCCTTGCTCTTGAAATTTTCATGGTATCTGAAAAAGATGTTTGAGGTACTGTAAAAGCAGACATGTTTATTTTGGATGGTCAGTTTTAGCTCCCTGAGGTACTGGAAGTAGACAAATAAGTTCCAGAGGTGAAACTTACTTGTCAACTTTGAATACCTCATGGAAGTAAACCAAATGTCCACCCTCAAACCATGTCACAATTATTTGTATATTGGCTCTCCTGTCTATTGGAAGTTGAAAGGGCTAGTTCATGCCTATGGCCTCAAACTTTGCAAAATTTGATACCATGATGATTTGTCATGGCACCCCACAGGGCACAATCCCTTGCAAAGTCTTGAGTTTTTGGTGGAGAGGGCAGGCAAGTAATGATTCTGACAGTGTCACTGGGCATCTTGACTTTCTCAAATTGGAGAATATTTTGTTGCAATACAAAATATGCAAATGCATTGCTGAGTTGACAACTGTTAATTATGGAAGCAGAAGTTTTTCTTTGATACTACTATGTACTATAAGCCAGGTCTAAGGCTTTGCATCGGAACCGAGCACCCAAGCACCCGACTACAAAATTTCAAGTCGGTAACTTATTCAAACTTATGGGACAAGCTACTAACTAACCTCTCAGACAGTGAAAAGAAAAATTTGAAAGTTTTGGTCGAGAAATTTGAAAGAAAAACCAGTACATGTTTATTTCAGTAAAAATTTTCATGGTAATTCATGCATTCATCCAGCACCAACAATGTCCATGCATAGAAGTAATAAATTAACACCCAAGTTCTCTTGACAGAACATTTTAGCAAAGATGAAATCCAGTGGATTTTTATATTACTTTGTTGTTTTTATTCATTACTTTGTTTTTTCTTAGGATTTTGGAATGGCATCCTGTAATGGGTACCCAAGCTTCCATGTTTTATTTTTTAGGGTATCCAGTTTCGCAACTACTCGTTATCACATACCATTTCCTGGCCCACAGATATTTGAAGGGTAACATACATCGCTGCTTACAAGACGACAATGTTAGTCTGGTTCTGAACAAGATGATTCTGTTTTGAGAAAATCTTATGCCACCACCATCACAGAACCAAATAGGGTAATTCCTCACATTTCTGACAGGTCTGAAGTAGTCTGAACCCATTTTCCTTGGTTTTTGATTATTATAAATGCTACAAAATGTCTAGTGTCCATACACTGTATGAATCACCCTTCTAAACCAAATGGAATTTTTCTTATGTGTGTTTGAATACTTATTGCAACTTCTTCACAACACTGTTTTACCATACGCTATACCTGTCCTAACACAAGACATCAAGGATTGGTAGAGCAAGACACCAGATAACGATATGCCTGCAGGTATCATAAGAAATTTCCAGCTTGAAAATGAGAGCTGATGGCTTAGTAAAATGCCACTTTATCAGAGACTCACTTCAGAGACAAAAGCCTGTCATAAAATCTGTCTGTTACATGTACATCTAACAGATAATTTACAGTGCATCAAGTACTTGGCAGCTGAGGCCGTGTAACGATCTTGCTGTGTGTATATACAAGGCACTGCAAACGTACCTCAAAGTGTCAAAAAATATGTGGTTGTGGTGAGAAATATTACGCATATACTGTTTAATAACTCCTGTGAATCAATATATGAAGAGGTTAGGTGTGTGTGAAGTGTTGGTCTCTATATCTGGCCTTTTTCAAAAGTTGAACATTTTCAGCCAAAATTAATAGCGTCAGCTGGTGGTTTCCTTCTGGACCTGTTGTACTAGTTCACTTTTATTGTAGTAACAAGTTACATGAATAAACTTTTCATTACCTTTGTCTGGTGAGCCAGCTTCAGCTTCCAACTGCAGAAAGGCTGCATCATCACTCAAGCTATCAACAGAAGAAAGCTTGTCACCTGCCACTACTACCACTGGGCCTTTACAGGTATCCACCCGCAGGATTTCCTGCCAAATATAAAGATAATTGCCAAATTTGGAGCAAATCTGAGTGCACAATCTAAATACAAAAATCCCCTATAATGTTCGTTCCGGAGAATTGCTGCCTAGTGAGGGGTTGTATCTCAAGAGCATAGGGTTGGGGGTTCATATCCAGCAGAAGGTTGCATGTAATCTTAAATTCCTCTCAGTGGCTCCACCCAACAGATGAGCCCTGGAATAAACGAGTATCACTGTTTCTAAGGGTTCTGGATATAAAGCAGAATTAGGTACCTGAAGTTTTGGAGAATGGGCTGGTGCAGGACTGTCTTTTGGTTCTTCTGGAGGAGCATCTAGGCATTTGGCCTCGGCAGCTTCTTCACGCACTGGATGCACAACACGTACTTCTGTCAAATGGGGGGAAAAAAAAAAGCTCGGAATTAATTTACAGACCATGTAATCTCAGTTCCTGGGGTTTCAAAAAGCCAGCATGGATGCTAACTCGAGTCATAGTCAAATTGAGTCCCATTGGGTAAATGACTTGAGTCACTGGAAGCACATGGCTCAACTTAACAAAAGTCTGAGGCTAACGATAATACTTAATCCCCAAACTCTGCCAAACCAGATTGATTAAATTTGAATGTAAACTTGTCCACGTGCATATAAACCAATTGCATTTCCCAAGACTTGATTTTTCACAAGAAGCTGGACATTTCTGAACAGTTTCAGTATTTCCCCAAATCTGTAGGTTTTATTGTCATGCAGCTATTGTAATTACTATGAACCATCGAGAATGTAGATCAGCCTGAAACAAATCTCACAACAAGCAAATGCATGTTTATCACTTCTGCATTTCTTTGCTGTGAAAACTGTAATCAGCTCAACAGCTACATTCCAACAACTCCAGTTTTAATTTTGATTGAAAGATAGGACAAACAGTTAAAGGAAACAGTCTACCAATGACAGACCGAGGATCAACAGAGATTAACCCTAACAGTCCCAAATCCTCCGATTTCAATATGATTTTACATACACCCTACGGGGTTAGGGTTAACAAGTAAACACTGAACAATGATAGGCAAGCAAGAAATAGAAGAAATGAGTGTCGGAAACATATACCATCCTGGGGCTGAACCAGTTGTTGTTTCTCTTCGTACTCTGCTGCTTCCTCCTCCTTGCCAGTTCTCAGGATGCAACAACAGCACAGAAGGAACAGCAAGACAGCAGCAGCACCACCACTAACTAAAGCAAACATACCATGAAAAACAGAGATTTCTCATTTTGCTAAGATCATAGATGTTGAAGCCAAAATGTTACAGCACCGTTTACATATAATTTGCAATTAGCACAAAATTTGCATTCAATATTCCTAAAATAAAAATATGCTGCAACAGAAGCACCTACAAGTTTTTCATGGCTTGCATTTGTTAATGGTTGCACTCACATGGAAATTTTCATCGCTATGTTACTGATTTAGGGAGGCCCATCAGCAATTGTGATTTCTTTCATTTTAAAATACACAGAAAAATTAAAGAAAATGAAATCATTTCAATATATTTGGCCATGATATACATTATGCCGCCAGTTCTGTCTCCCAATATTGTTATAATATGGTGATGAGAATATTTCTCCAATCTCTGCTACCTGCGCCAATGAGGACCCAGTTCACTGCAGAGTTTGCTGCAAGTTCTGGAGGCATGTCCACTTTGACGCCTTCGACAGGTTGAGGATCCCACAGCCCCATGGTGAATATCTGTGGTGGTGAAATATAATCAAATGAAACAATTAAGTCACATTACATCCACTCTGTGCTGAAGTACCTCCCTCCCCCTTCCCTCCCCAAACAGAGAGAGAGGGTGGTGGGAACCGGTTCAATTACATTGTGTATCCCCACTCAAGGGACTTTGATTCACCGCTTTACAAACAAAAACACACTATCTCTTGTTAATGCACAGAAAAAATAATATAAGTATCCATGAACCTTTTGATTTAAAGGACTAAAATCAATGAAGCTGTATGCAATTAAGTCAACTACCATAACGAAAAGGTGGCTAAGACTGACTAAATTACCGTGTAATAAAAGGAGTGGAAAAATAAGGGACAGTTAAATTCAAGACACTTGTACCCTCAGAATGTACTCTCTGTGATAATTAGTGATACAAACGATGGTCTCTGTACTGATTGACTGCATGGAATACAAAACAGATACATGACCTCTGTTGATTCTGTGCGGGGCATGAGTGTGGTAGTCACTGTAGTGCCTTCTTCCTCAGACTGGAAACCTGAACACTGCTGACGATGTACGGAGTTACTACGGTCCCTTTCTGGATTACTGGTGAAAAGAGTCTCAAATGGCTGCATACCATTGTAGGTTAGACCTGTCATTGACAAGATGACAACAATAAAAACAAGATGTAAAACACAGGATTCTTTCCTTTTATTAAAGTGTCCTTCCAGTGGGAAAAAAGTTGTTCAAGGTATGAATGAAAGATCTCAGCTGATTAGTGAAACTAATGACCTAAAATTGAGTGCAGAGATCGTCACGAGATAAAAATATGCACATCTTTGAATCAAAGTCTTTTGAAATGTTATAATTAGTGCTGTTGAGAAAGAAAAGCAGAGGGTAGTGCAAACTGACCCACTGTCTGGATACCTGGAAATGTAAATGGATGATTGACCGCAGGATTAATTACCCCTCCCTCCAATCTCCAAAGATTCTGTGCACTGTATCACCCTACATGCACCCATAGGACCATCCAGGGAATCCCTGGGATGGTTGAGGGTTTGTTTGTCAACGTTTGATCAGTTTAATAAGCCAGTTTGGTATTTCAACAGTGTATGCCAAAAGGAAGCGTATATCCAAGGTCATTTGTGACCAGCTCCTCAAATACGGTATGAGTTATTATGGGCCTTTTTTTTTTCAAAATGGCTTATCCATACACATTTGAGTTGGTTACATTATAAGCTTTCATTTGGTGTAGGTTTGAACCCTGTGGCATTTTGCAATCTGGAGATACATGTATGTTGATTTTTGCATAATCATATCATACACATTAACAAAAGTGCTTTTAGAGATGAAGCCCTTTAAACACAAGAAGTGGAAAAAAAAATCAGCCAAGAAGAAAGTCTCTTGATACCCATAGCAACAGTTAGGTTTCTTGTATGAATTGTGGAAGTACTGATATAATAAGAAGCCAATAAACTTGACAAGACGTAAAAAGTCACCCTGTCCACATACAAAAGCTCTTAATATGAAATAGCACAGGGTCCCTTTAATATCCTTTTACACAGAGCAGGTCACATTTGACATCATCAGTCATGGTACTTAATAGTCTCCACTATCAGAACAGCCATATACTGTCACATGAGTGTGCTTTGTTTCACCACACAGTGAGACGAATCTATCAAACATTGTGTGCACCTTCATCTCTCTGGTTTTGTAATTAACACATTTGTAATACGAACAGGAAATACATGAATTTGTGCGTAGAAGCAGTTTTTGTACAGAAAACTTACATGTGGAGGTGACAAAAAAATTGTGTATTAATTTTAATATTAACCACATTTTTTTTTTCATTTTCTGGTGATTGAACTGCACAATATAAAGCAGTTTCACAGATTCAGCCAGCATTTGTGACTGAAATAAACGTAAAACATACCTCTAATTCCTTTAATTGTTTGGGCTATGCAGGTGCAAAACTAACCTCATGGTACGTGGGCTAGGGGATGGGAGATGCTTGACAAAATAAGTCGCACTTGGGTTACAAGGAACAATTCTACTGTTAAAGCGAAACGGTAATTAGGCCAAGAAAAAAAAAGTTCTGCTTCTGATTACATGCCTCTCAAAAATAGGGTCAGTAGGTCAGAAAAAATAAGGGGGGTCAGTTTTTTTTTGCTGATTGAATGGTATGAATGGTGATGAAAGCTTCCAAAAATTGCCACAAAAGTGACAAAAACTTGCCTTAATCTATGTAAAAATTTCTACAGTCAACAATTTATAAGAATTATGGACATTTCACACCACTGCACAATGCCAGTCAGGTAATAACGACGGCACACTGGCCAATAATGTCCAGTGTGATAAGCACACATGATGCATCCAGATGGGCAGGTGATAAATCTCATGCTGCACAGGAAATTTCAAGGAAACACGCTTGCTTCAAGTACGAGCAAAACAACCTCAAATTAAACTTGTGAACACAGAAAATACATACATTATAGCCAAGAGACCAAGTTCTGTGAATTAATTTGCAAAAATCTTCTTGCAATATTGATTTTGTTTTTGGACTAACAGCTACAGGGTTGCATGGGAGTATGGCCGATGTAGTGTAATGATGTTATTTTGACAAGGAGACTGGTTGCCACATTTTTATCACACACTCTTTTGCATGGGCGTGGCAATAGTCTAATGCATTGAGCTTTGCGCACATGTTTTCACAACTAAGACAGCAAAACGCAAAGGGAACTTGTGAAAATAACAAAAGTTTTTTTTCAAAAGTTGCAAATTTAAGTAGGAAAACATACAAAAAGAAGCATTTTAACGTGAAAAAAAGTGTTTTGTGAATACAAAAAGACAACAGTATTTTAAAAAAATTTTCAAGTTTCCTTTTCCAACTTGCCGCTAAACATTTTAGGGTCATGCCAAGAAATTAAGGTCAGTCCGGAAACCAGAAGCACAAGTGGGGGGGGGTTTGGCCTGATCAGTATGTAGTCTGCAAGATGTGCAAATGGCAAATGTTAGACCGATAAACAGAAATCAACTGGTGTGGAGATTGAACCTGAGACCTCAAACATACTTCCTAAATGCCTTCCCAACATCCAACTCTGTGTTGGTGCAAACCACAAACACAGGGCTGGATAGCTCAGTTGGTAGAGCACTGATAGATATTCCATACATGTAGGTTGCGGGTTCAAATCCCACTCTATAGTCAATTTCTTCTTTCATCTTTAGGATTACTTCATGAGCACATAGTCTGTTTCCCTATGCTATCTGATGTGTTTACACTGCCAAGATGTAAAAACAGACTAAAAGTAGCCAGCAATTATTAAATAAAGTGCAACTGAGCACTTGGACATTATTCCACATTGACAGCAACGCATGGAAAAAAAGCATGCACTAATGCAATCTGATAAAACTCACATATGTTTGCATATGTTTTCAGCAAACTTAAAATAAAATGTAAATTTTGACTCACCTGTTAGACATCCTTCATATCCATGTAGCCCCCGAAGTCCATAGTCAGTCTGATTCACCTCCACTCCACCAATTATCATCAGTTTCCTATCATTGAACTCTGTCTCTTCAATGGGCTCCAATGTCTCATAGTCAAACCCGATGTTATCCACCTATTCTCCAGACATGGCAGAAATTAGGGGCATCAATTTCCATCAACTTCTGTGAACTCAACCTGCATGGCAGATGTTCTGTGGAACTTGATGTAACACTGCGCAATACGTGAGCCTTATACTATAAAATTTGTGGCATGGCTGCACAATATAATGTAATTGTGATCAATTTCACGACAAAACTTAACTGTGACACATTTTAATTCAAACATCTTGATAAGGAACAATCACAAGTCTGACAATGTCTAATCCACTGCAATATTCCAGCAATCATTACAGTCACTGAACTAGTTCGACCCACCATTTTGAAACAGTTTTCATCTCTTCTTCATTGGAATCAGGAGTAAATCTCAAAGTTCTCTCACAGCAAATAAAGTATAGCGTCTCCCCCCCCCCAAAAAAGCTGTGCATTTATTATATAAACCTTGACAAGTCAGGTAATGATAGGCCTTAAAAAACGTTAATAGATTGTTCACAATGTTTTCATAGCAACTTGTTCCATAAAACTGACTGCACGGGCTACAAATTTTTGCGCAAGTCGCATAACTTTCATGACGTGTGTCAGTTGTAACACTTTGTTGGTAAACTCATGCAGTAAAATGTGGCATTCTGGTAAGTGAAGTTATGCCACTACATTAAAATTTGGTGGAATCAGCTGATGAATCCTCTAGTTTCAACCAATTTGTCACACATCCTTTGGTTAACTTCCATCTATGATCTCCTTGCCAAGGAGATGAACAGCTCTCATATTTTTTTTACCATTACTACAAGATTGAAGAAGACTTTAACAATTTTGGAAATGGCATAAGAATTGCACTTGCCTAATTTGTTTCTTTTGAAGAGGCTATAATTGACAGTGCTTGTTTGATATACAACTGATTTTCCGTAGTAGGTCATGACTAAAATATTCACTTTCCTGTCATATCTGACATGCCTGTCTCATTTATTTACTAAATCCAATGTGATTTTCAACATGTGTATTATTGGCATCTTCACACACAACCAAAATGTCATTACAAGTTTTGTTAAAAACACACACACAGAAAACAAAACAAAAACTCACATCAAATAGAACTCTATTTCCAAAGCGTTTGAAGACCACAGCATGACGATAGGTATCATTAAATGGACCCACAACACGTAAAACAGCTGAAACAAAAAACATCAAGCTAGAAATTAATAGTACAGTTAACAGCATGCTTTTCAAGTTGCAGCTTTTTTCAAGAATTCTGAGCTTTTTTGATTTTTTACTATATGCCTTGCAGTCACTTTGACATCAATTTTATGAAAATAAGACCTACTATTCTGGCAAAATGACCATTTGCCTAATATAGGCAGGCAAAAAAGGTAAAAATTTTCTTATTCAAATGAGCGCAATAAAAAGGCCAGCAATGTGAAAATGAGGAATATAAGGTAGCCATAACAAATAGTACTTAAGTAACAAATAGTACTTAAGCAAATGAAATCAAAACTTCACACAGGTAATCATGAGAAATTTCTTTGCATGCATTCCAGAACTCTGGGCCGAGATTTCAGGGGCTTGATGAGGTGGCCCTAATGGAGGGGGGAAGAGAAGGTCTACATTCCCCGCCCATTTTAAGGCTCAAGGTTGACTGTACAATCGTGCTACTCACTAATTCTTATGCCACAAGGATTTTCCCCAGGATTCTGTTTTTTCTCCCTCTATAAAAATTGACACTTTTGGTATCTGCCTGCACTCAGCATCTTCTGATGCGGATTGTTTGGTAAAGTTGTTAACTTGACTTGCTGACTCAAGTCGGACCCAAAGTGCAATTCTTTCACATGAGACTTGACTTGCAAGTTGCCTGAACTCGTCACTGTTGTTTGGCCTTAGGTTCCTTGCGTGCTGTACGTAGCCTTTGGCTTGATCGCATTATAGCTGCATCCTTGGGAAATTCTGGCTTGTGGCTATAAGTCAGGATGATTAGCATCTGGAATAAGAACAGTCAACTACTGCTTAAGGTTATATGAAAATATTAACATACTTAATCCTCCTCCTAGATCAATGTGTGCCTCCAGATCACCTCCATGCAGAGCAATCATAAGCCTCTCCTCAGCACCACTGCTTTCATCACTCCTGACATAGAATAGTACTCCTGAGGGTTGATTGGTGCTGAAGCCAAACTCAAGAGCATCTTGCTGCAAGCCTGCTAATGGTGTACCCATCGGGAGAGGCACTGTGAGTGTGGAATCATCTTGGAACTGGGCCCCAGACTCTGAAACAATTCACAAAACAGCCCAATTAGCTCTATAATTTAAGCATGACTTATGACTTACGGTTGTTTCAACAGACCGATCCATTAAGCCACACATCATGGTCTTTTGACCAATCACAGCGGTGATTTTTATCCAGCATGCATACACAAAAGAAACAAGCTCAAGTGAATTATCCATGTACACAACAAGTAGGGTTTAAAGTGGAAGTGATAGAAATGCAGCTCTTTGCCTTTTCAACAAAAACATGATGGCCATCTCGGGTAGAATTACTACAAAGGCCCAGGTATGGACCTACTTTAATCCATTAGCCAAGACTACGTCCGGCAGGTGGATGATTAAAATTTGTCTCTGCATACCCGATGAAAATTAAGTTATACTTAAGTTTCTGGCAAGAACGCACTGCTAGTCTTAGCTGTCAAGGCTGTGATTTTTTCTAAAAGCTTAATAATTTGACACTATCATCCATCATCTTTGCTGATTAATTTATTAATTATTAATTCTGGAAGATGTTTTTATCATACTGATACAGTTACAAATGATATTTCAGCAAACCTCCCCCAATGGGAGTGACGGTACTACTCACCTCCTTCACACGTGTTCCCTGTGTATGTTGTTCCACTGCAATTGCAGCTAAAGCTTGTCCAGTGCTCAGTGCATATACCGCCATTCTTGCAAGGGTTCGCTGAGCAGTGGTTCTCACACTGCAACAAAGGAGCTTTCGAGGAAAACAGCCCTACAGGCACAAACCCCAGATAGAAATTAAAGTACATAACTGCGCTATGTTAAAACATAAAGTTGCTTACTACCAAGACATTTAACACCATTATGTTGGGGTAATATTTTCTGGCCTTTTTTAATTTCATCCTCTTTTCACAGCAACCTACGTGTAAATTTAAGAAATATATATATTGCAAAACAACTGTACTGGTGACTAGTCTACTAGACAAGAAAATGAAATTCTTAGAATTGAAATTTAGTAATGGGCTGGGCATTTTTAAAGCTGATTTTCTGAAAAGTGAATTTGTCTGTTTTTTGGTATTGAAACTCTTCATGCATATCATGATATCCAACCAACCTCAAGCTGTCTTAGCAACCATAACTGCATCCTTCACTTCAATCACATTTTTGTACAGTCACTGGATTTTTGCTGTAACTACATGCATGCACATTTTTGTGATTGTGAATATGGTAAGTTCATGAAGCAGCTGTTTGTGTGCATGTTGTAGAAAAAAGCGAAGGAAAAATCTTGGAAGTATGTATATTGATTATGAACAAAAATGTGTGAAGGTAGGAAATTTTCAAACTTCCGAATGTAAAAAATAAAAGACCACAAAATTCAACTGTTTGAATTCTGTGAGACTTTTTCTGAGACTATAGACAAATCAAGTGATCATGACAAGATTCATCACTTGTCATGTGCAGTGACCTCTGTCAATGTTGGTAATCATAACTACTGCACAGAGCCACTGCTATATGTGACAGTCGGTCCACTCAAACCTAAGACGTTGCCTGTCAACCACCTTGAAGAGGGACCATGGGGAGCATCCAGAGAAATGTCACTACATTCATCCATTAAACAAGTGGAAAGCATTGCTGGAACTCTGTGTATCTGCTAGTGGGTTACTTTTTCTTGCCTGCTGCATTAATTGCTGATACATTTTTGCGAGTTTCAAAGAAATCTACATACTTCGCATGATGTGGACAATTTCCTGGAGTCCAACAGGCTGACCGTTGACAATGAGCCCCCTGACGCATCCCATTAGTCCAGGTAAGAGAGTTAAGGAGTTCGGAGCACCTCCAATAATGATGTGAACCATCGATTTACCAGATGTCCTTAACTCTTGATTTGGCTGTATAATTTCTGTAGTGAAAGATTAAAAAGTGACAGATTTTATGTGTCTCGGTATCATTACCAACTCATGCCCTACTTGTACAATCTGAACTTGAAGACATATTTATTGCATGTATACCTTTTGCATGATCATGAATACGTAAAATTGTTCAACTCCCTTCAACTGTTCAACTCCCTTTGGCCCCTTTCCTGAGATGTAACCTTCAATCCAGCAAAATTCTCCGACTGCCCCTAAGTAAACATTGAATAGGAGGCTCCAAAAACCTGGATTAACCCTCCTTCTGTTTTAACCGTCAAAAACAGTCAAAAATGCCTTCCAATTGGTTTCCCCAGTACACAGACACGTATGGGAAATTTGACTGATTTTGACTGATATGACAACTGTGACAAGAATGCATCTTAGCTTAGGAGGGATAATTCTTTCACGAATGTGTTTCCTTGGAAGGGTGACCACTGCCTCAATCCTTCATAAGCCTCAAACAATAATTGTCCATAATTATGGTGAGACAATGTGACTGATATCATGAAGCAGCAATGGTGAATTCCTGTATCATCTGTATTATATAGATCTACCGTGGCTGAGCATAAACAGTACAAGGTCTGGTTTGATTTACTAATACACCCTTTGAAATTGACAAGTTTTTGCCATGTATAACCCATGTTCTTTGAAATCCTTCGCATATGCAAGAAGGATTTTGGGGGAATCGGGAAGGTTAAAGTTTTGCAAAAAATCTGAGCACAGATATTCAAATCAAGGGCATAATATCAACACAGGGAAATTATGGAGGAGCCCTTGGCTATTTTATTTGGAGTGCGTATTCTAGTGGTGGTTACCTTCATCCTGAAATGGTTGAGCATAGAACTCTGTCAGTAGGTTAACCGGTACCCCGATCTCTGCCTGGTGTTGATTGATGTTCACTACTGTCATGTCGTCCTTTCTTTGCACACTAACCTCCACCCATTCACCATCATTTAAGACACCACCTATCACACAAGATAATCCAAAGTAAATTCCAAGGGAAAAAGTCGGCACAAAAATTCAGCTAAGCCTGAACACTTTCACTGGAAGGACATCTGAAGAGTTCAAATAATTGAAGTGTTCTTAATTAGCTGCAGAATCTAAGAGAAATGTCTGTGAGAAAATCTCCAATTTTATTTTTCAATCTGTGAACTGCTTTCATCTTTGTGAAGCATGCGATGATTTGTACTTCTTCCTTTTGATCTTCTCCAGAACTTCAGAAAGCAGAAAACTCAGAGGTAAATCACATCCAAAAACTCCTTCATTGACATTCAAGGTGTATTCTGTCACTAACATGATCAGAACAGAACATTGGTAGTTGTTGTTCATATAGAAATAAGATGCAAAGAGATTGCTTTGTGGACAGTTTGGATATAATAACTCCATCCTAGAACTTATCTCAAAGATTACCTCCAATTGGCATGACACATTCAGTTCCACAACCAGTGAAGCAGCATTTCATACCAGAGTTGCAGTGTGAATCATCTTGGCACAGGTGGGCACACAACACTGGGTTGCTTAATGGTACTGGACATACACCTTGGTGTAAAAAGATAAAGTTGTTACATATTTGAGTCCAAATGCCCTGCATGATGTCCATCACAAGTTATGATGTCCATCACAAGTTATGATGTCCATCACAAGTTATGATGTCCATCACAAGTTATGATGTCCATCAAAAGTTATCCAGTCCTCCCATTTCTAAAACTTTGCCTCTCATTGTCTCCTCTCTACAGGTTTCTTCAGGCCTACAAGCTGTGGTGCCTAGGGCACTTTTGAGGAATCGTTAATGTCATTACCACAAGTACTTCACAATAATAGTGGTAATAAAACCAAGTCACAAGGTTTAAAATGAACAGTGACAAAGGCATTCCTTTGTCACCTTATTACATGAGACTGATGTAAAGATATGACTTGGACTGGAATTGAGATGGAATTACCAACAATGCTGTAAAGTCATCACAAGTCATAGCAAACAAACCACTGAAATGAACTGACAAAAGTTTTTCTCTGCAATGTTCATCCTGTTACATGTACTTGTGGCTGATGGGCTTGTCATTGGACTAATGAAAGTAGTTGTGATGGACATGATACAGTTCATTACAATTAAGGCAAGTCTGTCTCGTCCGATTATTTTTGTTTATGGCCCAAGAAGTAACATCAGGAAATATTCCACAATTCTGCATACCAGAATTAAAAAATAGTAATAATGAAGTGCATTTGCAGCAGTTTTTTAGTTGGAAGATTTCGACAAAAGTACAGTCAACCAACTCTACTAACAAAGAAAACTGTTATAAATAAATACTGTTGGCTGAGAATCTCAGTTTCTGGAATTTTTATGTTTTCTTTGTTTTTCTACTTTTGTAACAATGTCCTTGTTATAACAAAGTAAATTTTCTGGTCCCTTTAACTTTGTTATGGGCTCCGAGCTAGACCAAAAAGTGTGCAATTTTCCTAGCAACGGAGGCTCTTTTGGTAGTAACTGCATATATTGCTGGTTCACGAACAACTATGAAACTCTGTCGCATTGCTGTCAACAAAATAAACATTCCCAACCAACATGGCTCTTTTCAATCGTTGAAGGCCTGCTCAGGGCAGATAACGAGAGTTGACTGTATATGCTCCTAATGGAAATCTAAATCAAGTGAATGGGTTTGATTCAAGTTCTATTTAATTGACATATGAAATGATACAGCTACTCACAGTAAATTTTCCAGCATTTTCTTTCAAGGTGCTGTAACTTCAACTTTTACTACAGAGCTGTCTATTAGCTTTAGCTTTTAATCTCTTTTTCTACAGAGGTTTATTGTAACTTGTAGTGTCAACTCAGGTGCACTAATTATATATCAATGAGAAAAAACCGTACTGGAGTGAGTGCATGTCCTGTCTCAGAAACCAGTGATTCAGCATCACCAACAACTGTATACCGGTACATCCAATATTCACAACATTGGTGTAAACATTATTAGAAAAGACTACTGGAAATGCTCAGCTTGACCTGGCATTAAAAAAATGCAGAACAAGAATATCAGACAAATGTCAACGGTCCCCTCCCGGCTCCTTTAGGGTTAAGTTGTGTGTTCTCTCAAACTTGATCAAATTTATGTTTATACAATATAACAGCTGAAATGACATAAGTTGAACTAGCTAGGTTGGATATCTTACGTACTCTCATTAGCATTAACGACCACCCTGTGGACATCCCTTCCGGCATTGAATGTAAAGCCAAAAGTGCTATCATCAACCAATTCCATCTGGACGAAGTTGTTCAAGTTATCACGCGCATACAGAATTAATGCATTGGACTGAAGAGTGCGGAAACCAAGCTGCATATCTGAGGTTAAGATGTCGGCATTTTCAGCCTCAAATTCCAAGAAAAGATCTTCGCTTGTGAAGGAGACTACATCCTTGGTGTTGTCTGAAGAGAACAAGATACAACAAACATAGGAATGATATAAAAAGGGTCCTTGATTTCCATTATAGATTGTTCCAAAGCAAGATCTGGTTGTACAGTGCACCTCTTATTTGTTTACACTCCATCATGCACCATCTCCAAATGCAATTATGCTTCTGTATTGTGTTTGTCATGAATTGGAAGTTACTTTGTTTAAACAGATCTGTTTCACTGATGGATGGGCTCCCATCGAGGAAATGTATCTGTTGTTGTCACCATTAGTAGAGAAAATGAAAGTCCAAATTTAAAAGTTGGAGTACATTTTCTTTGACTCCTGCAGCTGATTAAAAAAAAATCAGCCTAGCTTCATACCATGCATAAGCCTTGGTTAGACTGAAAATTGGCAGACTATCTAGCTGCACAATAGATCAATTTCATGCAAAACTGCACTGCTACATGTACGTGTATGCAAAGTTCAATTATTTTAAACACCTTGTGAGAGAGGTTGGAGATGACAGCTTTGAGGACAGCTGTTCCTTTACAATTTTACAGCAATCTTAAATGGGCCTGGGATTAGCTCCATTTGCCATTTTAAAAAGGTTTTCCACGTCTCTCCACTACAACCAGGAGGTAAATTTTCAGCTAGACCACAACAAATGAAAGTATTTCATTACACCAAAAACAAAGTTGTACTTTGTTCATATCAACCTTGGTAAACTGAGTAATGATGGGCATTATAATGAACAAAAATTATTTCTTAAAATCCTTCATTTTTAACTTAAAATGAAATTTAATGACAGTGGAGTTACATCATTGCATAAAGTTGTGAGAAATTAACTGCAAGTCATGTGATTGTTTTAATGGCACTAGGACATCCTCTACTGGAAGCATGAGTCACACTTTAATGTATAACTTTGATAATTACACTAATCTTGGGTGATTTCTGTCTTTGAATACATTGATAGATGTATTATTACCAAAACATGAAAATAGAGATTAATCAAAAGCTAGAAAAAAATAAAATTGGAGAAATAAGACAGAGAATAAATGAGCCATCCACTTAAATCAGTAAAATACAAAGCATTCCATGCATTTCGTTGCCCAATTGTGAATTCAGGATTTAATCACAAAATTCTTGAGGCTGATTGCATCTTCTATAAACTAAATAAAAGCCAAGGTGGAGAAAACAAACGTAAGCACCGTTTTTGACGTTAGAATTGGTACTGCAAATCCATAAAGTTGAACACACTTAAACTCAAGCGAAGTTTGCTGTAAATATTTCTTGACATCAAGTTCCTTCCCCCCATCACATATGCCTGAAGTAAAAACCAACCTTTGAAAGATACAGCATGGCAACAGTCACAATACATGTAAACACTCTAGAAATAAACCAACCACCCAATCAGAAAGTAGGACTTAATTCAGGTGTTTTAGGAGACAAGCTACGTACCCCGACAACTGTCTGAAATGTACAAACCTCTGCTACAGTCTGGGCCTGAGTGCGCCGGGTGTGCGCAGCTGCATGTGTAGGAACTCCAGCGGTCAACACAGGTGCCTCCATTTTGACACGGATTGGAGTCACATGAAGTCACACAGCCTGCCTCTATTTGGAGATGTCTGGGTGGATCATTAGTCAGAAATCAAACAAACTTGCTAAAAAGTCAGTCTGGAAATGTTCCATTGACACACATGCATTGGCCTATACAGTTGATTGCCCACTCCCTGATATAACACTCTTGCCCACATCACATAAAGCTTTTATTTTCATTTCCCCAACTGCACACTTATTCACTGTGTACATTTTTCTGTGGTTGTGGTGCTCCTGTATATAACGCTTTTGGGGATATAACGCTCACTATTTTAGGCCGTGGGAGCCATATTAAGCATATGTGAAATGATTCCGGTTACAGCACTCTTAACCTTGAAAGTCAGATTCTTTGAAAATCGACCAAACTGCATCATAAAGCTGCTGCAATTGGCCATCCTATGGGGCACCAGTCATACAAGCAATCCAACACGCACCCGCCACCTGTACGTAGGCCCCAATACTGTCCACAGATTTGATGTCGTGCTGTGCTAGTATAAGCATACAACCTTACTATGGTGTGCGTCTGCTAAGCTTTTCGTGAAACTCCAGGCCATTAGTGGCTTGATTTCAAGTCTAAAATGTTCACACGTGGGGCACGTGATATCCTGGATGTTGAACGCATCGTAACAATCAACCCCAGAGTAACCAAAAGTGACAAGCAATTGGCCTCCGTCACAAGCACTGTACAGTCATATTATCATTTTAATTCCAATTTACAATCTTGTAAACAGTGCTGGTTTCCTGCTTCTCAGTCACACTGTGCATTTTGGCATTGGTTAGCGCCTTGAATGAAGGCTAGAAGCTCACTTCTGCCCAGCACGATTGTGAGCATGTGTTTACCATGGCGAGATTGCAAACAAGACATAAACGGGGGTAAAACGATGCGTGTACCAGTGGTTTTCCTAAACGTTATTCGTGACGATGTGTAGAGAAGAGGGGGCCGGGTAGGGTTGACAAGTTTACTGATTCTTGATGTTCATACAAGTACAAACTAAGAAAATTTCCATCTGGATGTTAATTGTTATGCATGTAACAGCAAGAGAGATTTGTTAATAACAAGTGGAAGTTAAAGTTTGAAATATAAGTTGCCTGAGTATTAGCAGCACGGGAAATAACAGTTGTACTAATTAAAAACTCCACAAATTCCTTCACAATTTACTCAACCATTTTATTTGACTCTTCGAAATTCACGTATCTGTGCAGCATGTACATGTACATGCTGCATGTACATTTTGTTTTACAAAATGTTGCAATTTTAGACCTTGTATCCCACATTTGCAACAAAACAAATCAATAATGGTAAATGCCAAGTTCAAATCTAATCAAATCAATCAAGTCACACTTTCACAAAAGTACATGCATCTTCCAATACATGTACATCTAATGTACTGTACATATCTGTACATGTACACACATGTGCACTGCACATGTGCACTGCACATGTTGCATGTCCAGTCAATGTACAGCACTATGCAGTTACAACACTTAATTCAGTTTGGTTCCTTTGGGAGCACTGTAACAGGAACCTACTGTATTCAAGCGACAGCATGGAATCCATTCAAGAACTATCTGCAGGTGAGGATAGAGTTCCAACAAGGGTTAATCTATGAAACACAATGGCGTGTACCTGGCATACATTTGAATTTATCAACTGGGTGATGATTGATGAAATTTACAACAGGAACAATGGATGTACAAGATGTTGAATCATTTGGAGCAGCATTTTGGGGAAGATTTTTTTAAAAGGCAACATCAGAAGACCAACTTTTGAAATCAACTGCATGAAATTTCTCACAATCATTATTTCATGTTTTGCAACATGAAAGTCCCATCCTAAATGAAAGCCATACTTGTTACACAGCAGACCACGGCAAAGTTCAAGTTCAGGACACAGTCCATGATCTCCAAAGGCTTCACACACATTGTGTGTGCAAAACACACAAGCATGCTTGACACTGTCAACCATCCCTGGGAACACAGATTGCCATAGATGATACCATGTTTGAAATGTATCCTCCAGCATGAAGTAGTCAAGGACTTAACCAGTGTTGCAAGTCTTTTCCCAAGTCCCAGCCATCATGAGAAACAGGGTGAACAATGACATGTAAAAGAATGCTTTTGTCACAGTTTATTTGAATAGCTTGTAAATTGGCTTAAGAACAAATGAGTTATGATGGACTTACAGGGCTTAATTGTAATGGACTCGAATACAACACTGAACATAACGTAAAACCAGAATAAATGAAGAAGAGATTCCAATTTTCAACACAAGAAAGTGCCACAGTTTATGTGGATTGTACATACTTACTCTTCATGTTCAAAGTGATCAAAGAGAAAGACAACATCTCCGTTGAACGTGAAGTCTGCAATGCATCCTGTCATACCCTCAGTACCTTTGGGTAACCTGTTGATACAAACAAACAAATTCAGAAATACAGAAATTCCCTCTTCAGCCTGCCATTGTTTCTGTGAACAAAGATATATGAGAAGAGCCACCAATAGGGCTGGATAGCTCAGTTGGTAAAGCACAAGCGTGGTGTTCTGGAGGTCGCAGGTTCAAATTCCGCTTCAGTCAATTTTTTGTTCATCTTCATAAACCAAAAAATTGCTCAGAACAATGCTAAACCACTCCTAGACAGGCTCCAATAAATGGAAGCACGTTCCACACTGTAGGCAAGTCAGTTAACGCAGCATGACGTCATCACATTGTGAGCACACTCAGCTCTTTATCACTATAACTAGCCCATGCTTTTACAACCATATCTCATTAACATCAGTTTGTCATCATTATACATCAAACTCACTCAATGATGTCCATTACCCTCAAAAGTGCAGTGCCCAGTACTACCACCTAACCCATGATGAGTTGGAAAAAAGGACCTTTATAGAAAGAACAGTTTGAGTGGCCTGTAATGTGAATCACTTCTACTGGTGAAGATTGCTCAAGACCAGTGAATTACTGCTGATAAGAATTCCTGAAACTCTACATCATTGTCAGATTTCTATTCACATTAACTGCCCCAAGCATGACAAGTCAAACAACATTTGTATAGGGGAATAATTTTAAAACTCCAGCTCAAGAAACTTCACCTTGGTAAGGTAACTCGTGGAAGTAAATACGCATTCAAATGAAAATCAATCAGGTAACTGCTGGTTCTTGAGTAAAAATTTTGAAATCTTCAGTTAACGGTGTTTATTTGACACTTTCCTCACTTTCCAATCTCAACAGGTGCAGCTTCTCCAAGGTATACCAAATTACCAGTCACCTTACAAGAATCACGATAGAACAATTTTAACTTACTCCTTCATTCCACCAAGAAGAAATGGTCCAGCAAGCATCAAAGTAACTCCTTTTGGAAGATTGAGGAATCCCTCAGTGAAATCCACGGTGACACGGAAGTCAATCAAGCTTCGTTCCACAGTTAGAGTATGCCAGTTGCCGTCAGTCAAACGTCGGGGAGATTTCACATGACCATCATAAAAATCGCCATTTATCTCAAGTATGAGCCAGACACTGAACGCTGTATGGCAGAATAAGAGAAAATGGTTTTTTCAAATAAAATAAAATTAATTATTTTTCAAACAGCACCCAGGGCCTAATTAAATTGACTAGGAATCCCATCGGTCTCATCAGCCGCCTCTCCCGTTGTTTTGATGTCAGAGAAGAATTTCACCTATTTCCTGCCAAAAGAACTAGTTAACTCACTGACAAGGGACATACATACCGACATGATTTCTGAAGTGTCTGCAAAACAAGTTCTTTTGAGATGGGTACATGTTACTTTGCTCTTCTCTTAAAAAATGCATATCCACCCACGCACAATAATCAGCCACCTTTGACACAACTTCATGTCAACCCACACTTGCAGTGTGTAAAGCACAAATTTAAAAGCAAATGAAAATGTTTCTCCTTAAATGCAAGGGCACATAAAAATAAAAAAGAGACCACACTTGCAGCCAGTGACCTTTCCATAGAATTGTCAGTTTCATTTCAAATCCCTCTGTTTAGCCAGATGACTAAGATATCTGTACATTTCAACGTAACTTGGCTCGTATGAGCAACTTACTCAGAATGAGCTATCCAAAGGCTGTGTTTGTGTACGTCTACTAGTCTCTTGACCATTGATAGAAATGCAGGAAAATGTGAGCATTAACTCAGTGTATGAGGACATTTGGGCTTCCAAAGATGGCACCCAGTGGCGTAACACCCTCAGTCTCAACACGCTATCCAGTCAGTAAAGAGTGATCAGTGGGGTCAAATACAGCCCACATTTTCTTAAAAGGAAGCACAATGTCTAAAGCACGTAACAAGTTTAATCTCTTACCATCCTTTAGAATTCCAGTCAGTGAATGGGAATCACTTCCACTGCCCATCTGATGGAAGAGAACGATGTTCTCCATAGATGTGCGGAACTTAAAAGACAGAGAGTTACTCTTCCATGTTTTCAATGTGATGTAGTCTTGTGAACGTGAGATAGTGACAGTGCGACCCCTCTGTTCAGTAACTGTAGATTGTAACAGAAACGCAGTTATGATCTTGCATTAGCAGATAAAATGGAAACAGAGAAGT